CTCCAAGGCCCTCTCCAATCACATTTCCTGCTTAATTCCTTCTTATTCTTCAGAACTCACCCATCCATCCAGCAAATATCTCTTGAGCAATACCACGTGCTGTTCTTGGCTCTTGTGCTACAGCAGAGAGCAAAGCAGACAAAAGCCCTTACCTATGTGGATCTTTACTGGGGCAGGAAAGAAAATAAACACACAAAAGCAAATACGTAAATTATAGAGCACAAAGGTGTTAAGTCCAGTGGAAAAGAAGCAGGACTGGATGAGAGAGAATGGGAGTGTGGGGGTGGGACTCACAAGAAAGTCGCTTCTGGACAATGACTGAAAACAGGGGCAGGGGTGACAGCAGATCTCTGGAGGCAGACTCTACCAGGCAGAGGCAGCTGCAGGGCAAAGCCCCTGGGGTGAGAGCTGCCTCATATGTTCTGGAACAGTGAGAAGCTTGTTGGTAGGAGATGAGAAGGAATTGTGGAGTGGGGAGTGACCAAGGGTCTTGGAGGTCATAGTAGAGGCTTTGAGTTCATCTTGGAGTAAGATGGGAGACCTTGCAGGGTTTTGAGCAGAGGGACAGAATCTGACGGCTTTCGAGGATGCTCCCAGTTGCTGTGTTAATTGGTAAGGGTAGAAGGAGAGACATAACTAGCATCTCCTACAGTAAGAGAAGTATGTTGGACCTGACCTAAACATTATGCAATGCATACATGTATCGTGACATTACATAGAACCTCCTTTGTATGTGCAAATTTTATGTTTTCATGTGTCAGTTAAAAATAAATTACTAAATCAGGCATAGTGGTGTGTGCCTGTAATCCCAGCTACTTTTGAAGCAGGAGTATTGTGAATTTAAGGACACCCTGGACTACATAGCAAGACTCTGTCTCAAAAAATCTATATATTACTTTTAGTTAGAGACCTGACTCAAGTGATAGCAAGTGTGAGGCCCTGAGTTGAAACTCCAGTACCACGGTTGGGGGGGTGGAAGGCTGGGGGGAGGTGGGGGGGCAGAACCTGGTACTGGTACACACCAGATATGGGACTGCACACCTATGATCCCAACACTCAGGAGGCTGAGGCAGGGGGATCAAGAGTTTGAGGCCAACATGGGTTACAAAGCCAGATTCTGCCCCTCCCCTACCAAAAAATGAATTTTAAAATCTCCTGCAGTAAATGAAGCACCAGATAAACATGTTCTCACAAGAGCCATAGAAGTGGAGGGGCAAGAATTGTTCGATGTCTGGGTAAATTTTGAAGGAAAAACCACTATGCTACTTTAATGGATTAAATGAGAGAGATGAAAAAAGAAGTCAGAATGGTCCCAAAACTTTTGGCCTGACCAACAGGATGAGTGGGTGACCTTGTGGATGGGCCACAAGGATGACATTGGGAGAAGCTTCAGGTGAAGAAAGTTTTAGGGCAGAACCAAGAAATCAGGTTTTTTTTCCTTTTTTAACTTTTTTTCTTTACAATCAATTTTTATCAACACATAGTTCACATAAAATTTGCCCCTCTCTTTTTTTTTTTTTTTTTGCGGTACTGGGGTTTGAACTTAAGGCCTACACTTAGCCACTCCACCAGCCCTTGTGTGTGTGTGTGTGTGTGTGTGTGTGTGTGTGTGTGTGTGTGTGTTGGGTTTTTTGAGATAAGGTCTCATGAACTATTTGCCTAGTTTGGCTTTGAACTATGATTTTCCTGATCTCTACCTCACGAGTTGCCAGGATTACAGGGTAAGCCACTGGCACCCAGCTTCCTTGTGGTTTTAATTTGCATTCCCCTATTGACTAATGACGATGGGCACCTTCTCGTGTGCTGATTGGTATGTGCATGTCTTATTTGGAGAAATGTTTATTTAAATCCTTTGTCCCGAGCCAGTTGTGGTGGCATGTACCTTAGGAGGCTGAGGCAAGAGGATCATAAGTTCAAGACCATCCTGGGCTACACAGTAAGCAAAAAAAAAAACCAAAATCCATCTTCATCATTTGTCCATTTTTAAACTGGATTCTAATCCATTTTGCTCTAGTTATTTTGGAAATTGGGTCTCTTGAACTATTTGCCCAGGCTGGCCTCAAACCACAATCTTCCTGATTTTAGCTTCCCAAGGAGCTAGGATTACAGGTGTGAGCTACTGGTGCCTAGCAATTATTTGTCTTTTTATTGTTAAATGAAAGAATTCTTTATATATTTTGAATACTAAACCCTTATCAGATATATAATTTACAAATATTTTCTCTCATTCTGTGTTTTAAGAGTTTAGATCTAGATTTGTTGAATTTGAGATATTCTATTAAACTATTAAATAGTCCAATCTGTCAGACAGATAAGAGAAAATTATTAGCATAATATTTTAAATCATGAGACAAGGTGCAATCTCTCATCAAGAGAATAAGGAAGTCAGGTGCGGGTGGCTCATGCCTGTAATCCTAGCTACTCAAAAGGCAGAGATCAGGAGGATCATGGTTCAAAGACATCCAGGGTAAATAGTTCCCAAGACCCTATGTTGAGGACTGGAGGGGTGGCTCAGGGGATAGAGCACCTGCTTTGCAAACACAAAGTCCTGAGTTCAAACCCCAGTCCTACCAAAAAAACAAAAAAAAAACCAAGACCCTATGTTGAAAAAACCCATTACAAAAAAGGGCTGGTGGAGTGGCTCAAGGTGAAGGCCCTGAGTTCAAGCCCCAGTACCACAAAGCAATAACAAAAAAAAGAAAAAAGAAAAAAGACAGAGAGAGAGAATAAGGATAGAGAGAAGGAAGAAAATGTCAAGTACTGAGTGCTGGGATACCCTCACATTCAGAAGTCAGTCAGGAGCTGGGCACTGGGAGAGGGAGGGGGCGGAGTGGGTGGTAAGGGAGGGGGTGGGGGCAGGGGGGAGAAATGAACCAAGCCTTGTATGCACATATGAATAATAAAAGAAAAAAAAAAAGGAGCTGGGCACTGTGGTGCACACCGGAAAACATCCCAGCTTCTTGGGAGGCAGAGATCAGGAGGATTACAGCTGGAGACTGGTCCCAGCAAGAGACATTATCTGAAAGACAAACTAAAAGCAAGAGGACTAGAGTGTGATTCAGTGCTAGAAGTGTGTGCCTAGCAGGTGAGAGACCCTGAGCCCAATCCCCAGTAACACACACACACACACACACACACACACACACACACACACACACACACACACAGTCAACCAAAAGGGAAGCACCACCGCAAGAGACAGAAAGGGGGCCAAGGCGATTGGTGGAAACCAAAAGCGTGGGCCTGGGGAGCTAGAGAGAAAGCGTAAGGAGAGAAGGCCGTGACCACCTGGTTCAGATGCTTCCGACAGGTCAAGCACAATGAGAAACCAATCCAGCCTTGGGTTGTTTCAGAGGAACAAGAGCAGCTTCAGAGGAATGCTGGGGAAAAGCCCCATTGGAGAAAGTTCAAGAAAAAGTGGAAGAAAAACAGCCAGCAAGCTTGACATCTTTTTCAAGTTTTTCTTCAAATCTAGAGCAGCAGGTAGAAGGGAAAAGTGACATTAAGGGTATCTTTTGTTTTCTTGTTTTGCTTTTTCTTTCTCTTTCTTTTTTTGGCAGTACTGGGGCTTGAACTTCGGCTCTTTTGCTTGCCATATAAACTGTCTACCACTTGAGCCACACCTCCAGTTCTTTTTGCTTCAGGTTATTTTTCAGATAGTCTTGTGTTGTTGCCCGGTCTGCAATCCTCCTACTTATTCCTGCAGCATAGCTGAGATGACAGGTATGCACCACAATGCCCAGCTTACTTGTTGAGATGGGGGTCTTGCTAACTTTATGCCTGGCTGACCTGGAACCTCAATCCTCCTGATATCCACCTTCTGAGTAGCTGGGATTACAGGCAGGAACTCCTGTACCTGGCTTTTTTTTTTTAAAGAGACATGGTGTCACTATACTGCCCAGGCTGACTGGAACTCCTATCCTCAATCAATCCTCCTGCCTCAGCATCCCAAATAGATGGGACTACAGATACTCACCACCTTACCTGGTACTTGTTTTGCTTTAAGGTGGGAGAAATGGGGGGTGTAGCTCAGTACTACACAAATGAGTGTGTGCGTAGTATGAAGGAGGCCCTGGGTTCCATCCCCAGTACCACAAAAGGGGGGAGGGGATGTGGGAGAAACGATATGTTTTTATATAAAATGGAAATGAACCTGTGAGGACCAAAAATTAATAATGCAGTAAAGGGGAATTGCTGGAGAGGTGACTTGAGTAGGTGATGGGACAGGATTCACCCCAAGGGGAGGCTGGCTTCCATGAGGCGGGGAGCTGGTCATCTACAGAAAGACTGGGAGCAGTGTGCATACAGACCTGGCGGCTGGGGACAGGACTCTGCACCCATACTTTCAAGCGAAGGAGAAAGCGCCAGCTCTTTTGAGAGGGAGGATGGGGGAGAAGGTGGAGTCAGGAGAGGGGGGCTGAGTGAAAGGGCATCAGGGGACAAGGAACACCTTCTGACCTGCAGGCTAGGTCACAGACCCCTGTGTCCGCTGTGTTATTTAGCTCTTTAATCTCCTCTTTAATCTCCGACGTGCGCAGAGCTGTCTAGGTCCGCTCTGCATCTCCACCCCGAGCCCTTGGGCAGAGTGGGCGGACATTTACTCATTAAATTGTTAAATAAGTGAGTGAAATGATGACTGAAAAGTCCTAAAAGTGTCATGGGTGCTCTTCAATCAGCCTAGATTCCTGAAGCAGCCCCTCTCGCATCCCAGGGTGACAATGACGTCCTCCTCCCTCCGCACCCCTTCTCGCTGTTACCGCGCACCCTCCCCACCCCCACCCTAGTCCCAGCACCGCAGCGCAGTCCCTGCGACTTTAAGGGCGGGCGGAAGCCGAGCCGGGCGGTGATTGGTGGTTTATTCTAACGGCGGAGGATGAGCTCATCCTCAGCCAATGGCCGGGCGACCCCGGGACCAGAAGCCCCCGCACTGGCTGGGGGGCGGAGGGCGGCGGACCGCGGCGCGCGCTGCCCGCTGGCGCGGTGGAGGGGGTGGTGGCGGCCCGGCAGGTCTGGTCCCGCGGACCGAGCTCCTGGCTCGGGCAGGTACGGTGTCTACCCGGCTCCTGCTCGGTTTTCCCAGGCGCGCAGAGCCCCTCCCCGCCCTGCCTGCCTCGGCCGGTTCCCACTGGACGGTGCACCTTGCGTGCCGGGGACCCGCGGGCTGCACGCGCCGCATTCCGTGTCTGAGTGGCCATGCGGCTCTGATGGCAGGACCCGACAGTTGGACACTGAGGCCCAGCCGGTCTCGGTGTCGCCAGAGCACAGGCCTCAGAGCTGCATGTCTCCTACTGCTGGCCAAACAGGCAGGGTTGCCCCCTCCCCTCCCCCTCCTGGACGCATCCTGGCCCGGGCTCAGCTTTCCGTTGTCTTGGGGATGTGGGTTTCCTTCCCACCCCTCCCTTTATCCTGTTCTCGCCTGCCTCCCAGCATTGAGGCCCAAAAGACCCGGGGTTGGGAGTTCCCCACTGGCCCTTTCCCAATAGCACCTGAGAAAGCAAAGGCGGCTGCCAGGCTGCAGTGACAGGCGGAGGCAGTGCTGCTGGCCTCGCTCTGAGCCCCTTCTGCTCCTACAACCACTGCTCTTAACGCCTTTGGCCATCAGTGTCACACATGGCCTCTGGCCTTCTCAGAGACAGGGCCAGGAAGACAGAGCCATTCGTTCAGTTAGGGGTAGGTCACCCTCAGCTCCCTCATCACTCCATCTAAAGTGGGTTTCATGCCCAGCTCCCTGCTGGCTGGGGCGGGGGGAGTGAGGTCTTCACTCACTGACCATGTGGACCTCAGGACCAGAGAAGCCAGAACAAAGCATGGACAAACCATCCTGTCTTGAGGAGGTGCCACTGGGCTGAATGGGCAGGATGAATGATATTCCCTTAGGAGGAGCAGGAAGGTGAGAACAGGCAGGGTAGGGGACCAGTGTGAGGAACGGCTGGCATTGAGCCCAGAGTGTGTGGACTCCATTTTTTTGTTTGTTTCAGTAATGGGGTTTAAACTCAAGGCCTACACCTTGAGCCACTCCACCAGCCCTTTTTTTGGGATGTATTTTTTCAAGATAGGGTCTCATGAACTATTTTCCCTGGGCTGGCTTCAAACCACGATCCTCTTGATTTCTACCTCCTGAGTATCTAGGATTACAGGCTTGAGCCACCAGCACGCTGTGACCTCCATATGCTCTGTGGAAGCCTGATGAAAGCAGCTCTGGGTCACAGCTATCCCTGTCTTTTTCCAAAGCTCAACACATAGCACATGCTTGAGAAATTTTTGTGGAACTGAATTTGAATGGAAAGGAAAAAGAGTCCAGGCTGTTATTATATATCATTACCACCACTTAGAAAGGATCAGTCTTGTGAAGGGACATTACCCATGTTAGCTCTGATCCCTCCAGCCTTTGGAGGTGAATGTTAGTCTAGCCGGTAGTTCATGTAAGAAACTAGGTGCACGTATGGGTATGACTCCCAGCTAGGTCCTCCCTACTCATTTGTTCTCTTCCAGAGCCCAGCTGTGGGGCAGCCATGAGCCTGGTGGCTTGTGAATGCCTGCCTGGCCCAGGCCTGGAACCTGAGCCCTGCTCACGAGCACGATCCCAGGCCGCTGTGTACCTGGAGCAGATTCGCAACCGGGTAGCTATAGGAACACCTGACATGACGAAGCGTGACTACCTGGTGGACGCGGCCACGCAGATCCGGCTGGCCCTGGAGCGCGATGTCAGTGAAGACTACGAAGCAGCCTTCAACCACTACCAGAATGGTGTGGACGTACTGCTTCGAGGCATGCATGGTGAGAGTGGGGTGGGCAGGGACAGGATACAGTGGGTGGCCAAAGGCCAGTGTGGGAATGGCCCTGTCATCTATCCATCCCGTCTTCTGTCTGTCCACACTTGGGAGTGCAGCAGGGCACTGTGCTGGCCCTGTAGGACCTCCATGGAGACATAATCAGTGGCATTTATTAAGCAGTTCCTGTAAGCCAGGCACCATTGTTGGGGCTTTACCCATGTTAACTCAGTTGAGCCTCACAGTAATAGAAATGGCTAGCTTTTTTTTTTTTTTTTTGGTGGCATTGGGTTGTTTTGTTTTATAATAGTGATACATACTTTTTATTGTATCAGTTTTTCTTTTTTTACTTATTTTATATTAATTAATTAATTTACTTATTTATTTTTGTGGTATGGGGTTTGAACTCAGGGCCTCAAGCTTGCTAGACAGGTACTCTACTGCATGAGCCATATTTCCATCCCTTATTTTATATATTAGCTGTACAGGGGGTTTCATTGTGACATTTACATATGTGCTTACAATGTATCTTAAATAGATTCACTGCTCCATCATTCTCCCTCATCCCCCTTCCTCCTTCTTCTTAGAACAATTGGTATTGGGGTTTGAACTCAGGGCCTCATGCTTGCTAGGCAAGTGCTTTACCACATGAGCTACACCTCCACCCTTTTTGCTTTTAGTTATTTTTCAGATAGAGTCTTACATTTTTGCCTGGGCTAGCCTAAGACCATGATTCTCCTTCCCATGCCTCCCATGTAGCTGGGAATACAGGCTTGGGCCACCACTCCTGACTTGTTTGTTGAGGTGGGGTCACGCTAACCTTTAGTCCTGGCTAAATTCAGACCTCAACCCTCCAATCTCTGCTTCCCTATAGCTGAAATTACAGGTATGAGCTACTGCACCTACCCTGAACCTGAAATTACTAGATTTTTAAAATTGCCTATAGTTACAAGTATATAGAAACTTAATTCTCTCTCTCTCTCTCTCTCTCTCTCTCTCTCTCTCTCTCTCTCTCCCCCTTTCCCTCTCTCCCTCCCTCCCTCCCTCCCATTGTTTTCTTTTCATTTTTGAGATGGGGCATCTCTCTCTGTTGCCCAGGCTGATCTTGAATTCCTGGATTCAAGCGATCCTACCACCTCAGCCTCCTGAGTGCTGGGACTATAGGTGCACACTGCATTGGGCAGGAGCTATTTTTTTAATACTCATTTTTAATGAGGCATTGAACAATTAAAGAGCTTGCTCAAGCCAGGTGCTGGTGGCTCACACTGTATTCCTAGCTACTCAGGAGGCAGAGATCAGGAGCACCACAGTTCGAAGCCAGCCCTGGGCAAATAGTTCATGAGACGTATCTTGAAACACCCAAAACAGTAAAGAGCTGGTGGAGTGGCTCAAGTGATAGAGTGCCTGCCTAGCCAGTGTTAGGCCCTGAGTTCCACACCCCAGGACCATTAAAAAAAAATTGCTCAAGGCTCCACAGCTGCCAAGTGGCACAGCTGTGGTTGGAGCAGTTTCAGTTTCTGAGGCTGTGTGCTTGGCCCATTATATTTGGCTACTCCTGGAGCTGGGCTGGGCAGCTGCCCTCTGGAAGCCTGCATTCTAGCTGGGGAGAGATGGGTGACTGATGAGTGGATAACGTGTAATTACAGTCCCAGGTGGGCAGAGCAATGAGGGGGAAGTAAAGGAAGGGAAGAAGGAAACTAAGGGCAGACTGGGCCAGCATTGGGCATTTTCTATAAGTAAAAACTCTAACATAAATGTTGCAGAACAGCAGGCATATTGTCCAGTGGAGGGCCTGGCAGGGTTCCAGAGAGAGCGGCCAGGGGTGTTCAGGGCAGAATGAGGCATTTCCGTGCCAGGGGAGAGGCTGCTGCTGAGGTCAGTTTGAGACGCCCAGGGGCCTTAGGACCAGGCTGCAGGTAGGAGTCGCCCTGACTCACCCTTCCTCACCCTTCCTATGCTGCTGCTGAGGAGACCTTGGTAAGTCTGGGCTTCAGCGTGTCCGGTGCATTCCTTTGCCTTCTGATCTGGTCTCCACCCTGGCCTTTTTCATACTGGGCATCAGAGATGGAGGAAACAATGTTCTCTGGAAGCTTCCATCTCTTCTGAAAAAATGGACATGGAAGCCCCCACCCTGTTTCTTCCCAGGGTGTGATGGCAACCAAGGAGATGGTGGGTGCCACCAAAGTGCAGTTGGCTGTGGGGAGACTGTGGCTCCGAGCCTCCTCCTGCCATCTTCTTCCTCCTCCTCCCCTGCTAGTATCCCACCCTAGAGCAGGGGTTTAATAACAGGTCTCGGGGTAGACTCCACTGAAGCAGCCTTAGAAATACGAGCCATCTGCCATGGAGCGGAGAGGTTAGTGGGAGCTGGCATCTCAGCCCTCCAGCAAAATGGGAGGGGGAAGACCCTAGTGATCCTTGTCCCCCACAGTTGACCCCAACAAGGAGAGATGTGAGGCAGTAAAGCTGAAAATTACCAAATACCTGCAGCGGGCAGAGGAGATCTTCAACTGCCACTTGCAACGGACGCTAGGCAGCGGAGTCAGCCCTGACACGGTGAGGAGACCTCCCAGAGGCCTGAGGGGAGGGGTCTGGAGGGCAGAGCTGAGGCCCCCTGCCCCTTGCCCATCTGGCTGCAGGACAGGGTAGGTAGTGGAGGCTGTAAGTCCAAGGTCCCCTCTCTCCCACACCCTCATGGTTCATTCATTATCAGACTCTCACTAAATCATCCCTAGGCCCGTCTCGTGCCCTCACAGAGCATGTGGCATGTGTATACATATACATCCCCCAGCTTGCACACAGCTCCATCCTGTCTTCTATGTGCACACACTCAAAGCCTCCAGATCCTGTTTCTGTTGGAGCACACATGCATACGTGAATGCATATGTACGCATATGTGCCCAAGACTCTCTCCATGTGGGTTTTCCTGACCCAGTGGGCGCTGATAAGAGTTGAAAATGCATGCACACTTGCCATACCCACAGGCATGCCCAGGCATGCACACATACTTCGCTGCATCTTGCAGGCTGCCTTTCCCCAAAGCAGGTTGCTGAGACGCACACATTCCCAGGTTATCCCCACTCCTCACCCTGGGAATATCAGCCTGCTGTCGATGGGGGCTTTTGAGAGGGGACTTCTGGGCCTGGGAGGACTGGGTGGAGGCTGAGTGAAGAGGTCAGCCTGGCCACTCAGAACCAGTGTGAGTGTGAGCCCCGTGAGTCAAGTCCAGCTTCTCTGCTCAGCCTGTTCCTGTGAGGGGAGAACTGCCTGGATACTTGTCCTACCCACTATGGCCTCCATGCTCTCCAGGCAGCCAGAAGCCCCTACCAACAACTGGGAGAGGCAACTGTGGTTGAGGTTACATATGGCCTTTTTCCCTCCTCCTTAGGGATTCAGTAGCTTGAGGCTTCGGCCCATCCGCACACTGAGCTCTGCCCTGGAACAGCTGAGGGGCTGCAGGGTGGTTGGGGTCATCGAAAAGGTGAGAGTGGATGCCCACAGTGTGGGAGGGGAGGAGGGAGGTGGGCAGTGCGATGAGGGGTGGGTGGGACAGAGGTGTGATAAGTAGAAGTGCTACTGCATTCCTCCAGGGGGTGGGTAGGGTTGGAGGGACAGCAGCTGAGTCCAATGACCCTCATCTCCCTACCCTGACACACACAAGTCAGGTCCTGCAGAGGAAATCGTGGGGAATAAGAGGCAGGCAGCTTCCTTTCCACGCCTCCAGCTCAAACACAGAAACCATGGGAGAAGCTGTGCCCAGGGCACCCTGCCAGCACTTGCTGCCCTGCCCACTCCCACTTCCCACAGGCCTCCACCCTGCATGCACTCTGCACCCAGGGCTGCAGCCCAGCATGGCTCTCCGCTGAGCACAGCTGGGCATTTCCTGTAGCTGGAAGGTGCTCATCTCCAGAAACCTGTCTGGCAGAGGGCTAATGTGGCCTGCCTTGTCCAGGCCCTTGGCCCCTCTGCCCTTTCTCTCCTGGCATACACACCCTCATTCTGACCCCATCTTGCACTCTTTCCCTTAATTGAGAGCAGACAGGAAGATAGGCGATGGTGGCCCAACCCTTATTAAAGTCAGGGAATCAGAGGAACAAACGGGTCAAATGAGACTTGAGCGGCCGTCAGATTTCCCTCTGCCTAACCCATGGCTCCCTGCATAGTTGCTGAAATGGTTCTTTCCCAAATTGCCCATTTATGAGAATCATCTGGAGAGCTTCCCCAAAATACAGATGCCTGGGCCCCACTCCAGACCTATGGAGTCAGAATTTCTAGGGTGGAACACAGGAATCTGTCATTTAAAACACTTGTCAGATGATTTGGGTGGGTCTGGGGACATAGAGAAAAGACCAGTGTGTGTTCTGTCTCCCCTTCTTCATGCAAGAGGACATTGTACTGTCTGGGGGAGGGAGCAGGCCTGGAATCTGAGCGATGCAGGAGGTACTCCTCACCGCTCTGAGCTTTGGTTTCCTTATCTGTAAAGTGGGGTGGGAATTCTCCCACCAGGAGGTGATCTGGAAAGGAAAATGAAGTGATTTTTGGGAAAAGCCTGGAATACGCTGAGATATTTAATGCATGTTTGATAGCTCTCAACATGAGTGACAAGAGTAAGTGGGGAGGCATAAGATCCCATGTCCAGGGCTTGCTCCAGCTGCTTCTCCTGGGACCCTGGAACAGGCCCCAGACTGTCAGCACAGGCCCAGCCAGACTCCATCTGCCACAGTTCTCCTTCCACTGCCCTACTCAGCGGCCACATCCCAACCTTGGCTAAGCACAGCCAATTCCCAAAGACAGGCTGGGGAGCCACTGACACCATTTCTCTGAGAACCTGCTGAGCCATAGGTATTATGGTGAGGGGGGTTCCAAGTTGAGTAAGTTTGAGAAACAGTGAATTAAAGCTATATTACTTTGTATTTTAATTATAGGAGTTCTCAGAGATTTTAGGATACAAATATATTCAAGAGGGAGGTCTGTGACGTAGAATTTCCTGATATGTTTAACCCAGGACATGTATGTGTTTGCAAAGCATTTTAGACATACTATATTCTGAGGCCTGTGCACGGGGAAAGCACAAATTAAGACCAAACCCTAACCAGTCTTTCCTTTTCCACCCTTTCTCAGGCACTTAGTTGATCCAATTCCAGTTCCCTCCTGAGAACCTGCTCCCTTTCCCTGGGTCATGCCCAAGCTAGGAGCAGCACTTTCCCCAAATTAGGGAAGGTGTTAGGGCCACTGGGCCTATTCCATTGCTCTGCCCAGGCAAATCCAGGCTGCACTGCTGCTAGCAGGAGCCCTCAGGCCCAGGGAGGGAGCAAAGGCTTGCTCAGGAAGATCCTTAAGTGCCCCAAAGATGTGCAGATGTTGAGCTAACTGGGACAGGTAGGGGGTCTCCAGGGTCTGAAAAAATGCTGCTAAGGTGAGTCCCTAGTCAGGGACTAGGTAGGCAGCCATGATACCTGAGGGTCACCCTGTTTTTGCTGAACTTTCTGCAGGAGTCACACTCTTGAGTTGTGTATGGCAAAGAAAAAGGTCATCCAAGTCACTTCTTGTTTTATTTGGCTGAAACACAGCGATTTTTAAAAAATTGTTACCAACATTTTGAAATGTGTAGATTTCATATAAAAGTCCAGATTTTCAGCTTCTTCTTCTTTGGCAGAACATGGGTTTGAACTCAGAGCTTTGTGCTTGCAAGGCAGGAGCTCTCCCATTTGAGTCACACCTCCAGTCCATTTTGCTCTGGCTATTTATTTATTTTTTATTTAGTTAGTGATACCATGGTTCGAACTCAGGGTCTCACGCTTACTAGGCAGGAGCTTTACCACTTGAGCCATTCTGCCAGCCCTTGCTCTGGTTATTTTTGGAGTTATGCTAGAGGCTATAGGTAGGATTGTGGTCTGAGGCTAGCCCTGGATAAAAATGCAAGACCCTGTCTGAAAAGAATGTATAACAGTAAAGGGTGGGAACTTGGCTCAAGTGGAGGAATGTAACTGCAAAGTCCTGAGTTCAAACACAGGTATTGCCAAAAAAAAAAAAAAAAAAAATCTGGGAGCCTGGCTGGCCTCTAATTCCAGCTACAAGGGATGGGGAGGCAGGAAGATTACAGTCCAAGGCTGGCCCGGGGTAAAAACAAGAGACCCTGCCTGAAAAATAACTAAAACATAAAGGGCTGGCAGAGTGACTCAAGTGGTAGAGTGGTTGCCTTTAAACCCCAGTATTGTGGAAAAAAAAAAAAAAGCATGCTATACTGTCCAGTATGGTAGTCATGATCACAAATGACTATTTGCATTAATTAAAATCAAGTATTGCATGTATACATTTCAAGGGCTTTGTCACTGACCTCCCCAATGGACAGTGCAGAAATACAGTATTTCTACCATGACATAAAGTTCTGTTGGACAGTGCTGCATTTTAATTGTCTCATAGAGAATGAAACAGGTTCATGGAGGGCAAGTATTAGGTAGTGCTCTAATCCCCAAGACAACAAGCAAAGGAATTTTTTCTTTTTTGAAACGTACTGGAGTTTGAACTCGGGGCCTCTCAGTTGCTAGGCAGGACCTCTTTCTGCTTGAGCCACTCCACCAGCCCTTTTTTTGTGTGTGATGGGTTTTTTGAGATAGGGTCTTGTGAACTATTTGCCTGGTGGTGGCTTCAAACTGTGATCCTTGTGATCTCTGCCTCCCAGGTAGCTAGGATTACAGGCATGAGCCCCCAGTGCCTGTATGGGGAATTTTTATGTGGTTGTATTAATGGGAAGATGCCCCCTCTGCTACTCTTTTCAGATATAATGAAAGAGAAAGGAGTTTGAACCTGGAAAAAACAAACCAAAACTCACCACCTTACCTAACTATAAGAGAGTCACTGTTAATATTTAGGTCTAATTCCTTCTAAATAAATAGTTAGGTTTTAGAGTCTTTTTTTAACAAGTTCTTTTGATGTACGGGCAAGTTGTATTTCTGGCTCCCTTATCCTTCTCCACTGGTCTTTTGGACTGTAAATCAGAAGGCCTTGCCCAGGATGAGGTGGTGGGGAATCCCACTTGGCGAAGGATGGTGGGGAATTATCTGGGGTGTCAGTGCTTGTGGGAAACTCTGTTCTCCTAAATGACCTCAGTTTTCTGCCTTCCTTTTTCAAACATTGCACAAATTTGGTCAGGAAGCCAAGGCCAGGCTGGGCTGTCTCTGGCCACTGGAGGGGAGACCTCTGGTGGCCAAAAGAGAAACCTCCCTCCTGCTCAGGAAGGCCCTGGGGCTCACTTCCATTTTGCTGATGATGAGAAAACTGAGGCCCAGAAGGGAGGGTACTTGCTAATGTCAACTGGTTGTGTCCCCAGTTGCAGTAAAGTCTGCAGGGCTCTGAGATCAGACTGCCTGGATTCAAATCCTGATTGCCTTACTTTTTAGCGGTAGGACTGACCATAGAAAGGCAATAAATATCATGTCTCTGAACCTGTTTCTTTATCAATAAAACTAACCACCTCACCTAGTAGGGTTGTGGCAGTAAAATTAAGTAATCCATGTAAAGTATACTTAGCGTGGAGTAAGGACTTCATAGTCAATGTTGGTTTTTTCTACAATTATATTGATGATTGCCATGAATTATGAAAGTTTATATTTAAATTGTCTGCTGTAATCAGTCCCCCAACCAGGGACCCTCTGAAGAGGAACTATGATGCCATTTGGCAGTTAAGAATAGCAAGGTTTAGCTGGGCGCCAATGGCCCATGCCTGTGATCCTGCGGTTCAAAGCCAGACCCAGGTAAATAGTTCATGAGACCCTATCTTGAGAGTACCCATCACAACAAAGGGCTGGTGGAATGGTTCAAGGTGTAGGCTCTGAGTTCAAACCCCAGTACCAAAAAAAAAAAAAAAAAGCAAGTTTCAGAGAAGCCATGTGACTTACCAAGTGTGATAACTGACTTTCTCACAGCCCCTGTCTTCAGAAGGCTTTCCCATTTATAGCCACAACAAATCAGTGAGAAAGGGAAGGTGGGTGTTTGTAACTCCTATTTGTTGGTTGAGAAAATCAGTTCATTTGCCCAAGATCTAAACCAAGAGCCCTTCTCCCTACCTTGTCCTAGGCTGTAGCCTTCACCACTTGTCTAGTGCCCTGGCCTCAGGGCCTGGCGCCCACTCCTCATGGAGGCCAGCCAAGGCCCTCCCTAGGGAATGTCTGCCAGGCAGTCCAGTGGCCAAGGGATCACCACACCAGGGTGCCGTCTGGTCTCCACATGCCCTCATCCATGCTGAGTCCCCTGACACACCCCTGCCTACCAGTGAGAAGACCAACTCCAAATACGGCCCAGGCAGAGTGGTGGGCAGATCACTGCCTCTAACCAAAGCCAGCAGAAGAAGAGGGCTGCTCTCTGAGGACAGCATTCAGGAGAACTTTATTATTTTATTGAGACAAGTTCTTGCTATGTTGCACAGGCTTGCCTTGAACTCATGAGCTCAAGCAGTACTCCTGCCCTAGAGAGGACTTTATTTATAAGGAGATGCAGCAAGGCAGGGAGGGAGACACAAAAGAAGTGTGTCAAGCCCAGATTGTATTGGGTCAGCCTATACAATCTGGAGCTGCACTCAGTCACAGCTTCCTCACTGGTAAAACAGCGATCAGAGAAAGTGATGGTAGGGAGGTGCTTCAGCCTCACCTTTAAGTCCTAAGGGATGGTGGGCTCTGGCTGAGGTCTGAAGTGAAGGGTTGGTATCCTTATCCCTTTCCTCAGGCTAGGCCCAGTGTTGGCAGGGAAGGAAGAGGCATTCTTCTCACATTGTGGGGGAGAGAGTCCCCCTGACCACAGCAGCTGCTGTTTTGGCCACTTGCCATGCATGCGTGAAGCACCTACCACATTCTGCACTGTGCTGAATACAGGGCTGGATAGGATGGTTCCTGACCTTCTGGAGGTCACAATCAGGGATAAGAGGTTAGTCACAGTGTGGTAGAGCTCTCAGGAGTTGAGTCCAGAGAGCAGGAGAGACAGGCTATAGTCCCCAGGTGCTGAAGAAAGGAGCGTCAGAACTGAAACCTGAAGGTTTTGCAAAGGTGGGCAAATAGGACAGGATGGTGTCAGTCTGGGGATGTGGACATACTCCCTGCTCCTGGGTGAGTGAACATGGTGGAGGGATCTGGGAGCATAGGGTCCCAAGAACTAACATGTGCCTTGACCAGTGCTTCCTGAACCTTGGCAGGTGCAGCTGGTCCAGGACCCAGCAACCAGAGGGACTTTCGTGGTGAAGGTAGGTGCCACTACCCCCTACAATGCCACATTTGCCTTGGGACTTTCTTAGAGCTCTTGAAACCCTTACCCTCCAGTGAACCCCCTCCCTAGAATGTGCATCTGGAGCCCTTGCCCCCTGCAAATCCAAAAACTCCTTGTTCTGCAACTCAGCATGGGCCCTGCCTCCTGGACAGACATACACACAACCTCATCCTTGGCCAGGAGGGGGCAGGACCTGAATTCCATGGGGGAAGCAGGGCTGAGGACCAGGCTAGGAACTGGATGAAGTGGAGTGGCTCCCACTTCTCATCTGGGTGTCCCTGAAGCCAAGGCTAGGATATCCTCTACCAGAATAGCCCCTGGCCTGTCCCCAGCTGATCTGCCTGCCTTTCCCACTCTTCAGAGCCTGCCCAGGTGCCATACGGTGAGCCGAGAGCGGCAGACCATTATCCCACACGGGGTTCCCTACATGACAAAGCTTCTTCGGTACTTTGTGAGTGAGGATTCCATCTTCTTGCATCTGGAGCATGTGCAAGGTGAGGGGGGTCCAAGTGGCCCCTTCCAGGTCCTCTGGCCTTTGAGCTTTGTTGTACCTACCCACTTAAAATGCTGAACCCTGGGGAGGGGTGTGGCTTGCTCCAGATGTATGACGCAGACCAGGGACAGTCTTTCTAGAGCTGTTGGCAGGGCCAGACTTGTGGGCCTCTGTGTGATGGCATCAGAGCAAGAGATATCATGGGTAGGATGTTCACACCTTAGACAGATGAAAGGGTATTTGTACAGCTGTCTCCTTTGTCACCATGTCCTCTGTCTTAGCTCTTTTCATTTTTCTGGTCAGTGCCCATCCCTGGTCCATGGCCACACAGGATGACAGTGACTGAAGCTGGAACTGGCCATGTGCCAGATACTATGATTATAGCGATTTTTAAAATATGAGGTACATCCTTAGGTCACGCCTTATAGTCCATGCCTGGCCTTCTTTACATTTCATTATACCATTCTCCCTAAAGCAAGAAAGAAATTACAATGTGTTGAACACCGGTGAATCCACTACCCAAACCAAGGGTTAAGCTTCGAGGGTGTACAGGCTGTCAGGCTGAGCACTCTGTACATGAGCTGAGCAAGAGAGAGGAGATAGATGTGAGGAGGAATAAGGCCAGGGCCCCTGGAAGGCAGAGGGGCTATGCCCAAGATGGAGGGGAGGCAGGAAAGGGCTCAGACTTGGTATCTACACTCTTCTTCTCCCTTCCCATGTTTGTGCTCCCACTGCCTGGCCCAGGAGGCACTCTCTGGTCCCACCTGCTCTCCCAAGCACGCCCTCAATATCCTGGGCTCAGCTCTGGCTCCACCCAGAAGTCGAAGACCCAGTGCAACACCCACCTCAGCGTCCTGACTCCTGCGTGGCACCCCATGGGCTACACTGTGCGGACTTCTCAGAGCCTTCTCCCATCCCTCACACCTCAGAGTGAGGCTGATAGTGAACCTGCAGCCAGGACCAGTACTTCCTGTTCCTTGGACCTCATAAAGGCCCCAAGTGTCCATCTTCAAGCCAGGAGAGCTGGCCAGAGCTCAGACCCTGGGCCTCCTCAGAGGCTCTCTTGGGTTCGTGAGGGGGCCAGCCGGGTGCTGGGGGGCTGTGGCCGACACAGAGCTCAGAGCCCCCCATCAGACAGGGCCAGCTGGGGATGTGGTGGAGCTGTATGGAGTGTGAAGGAGGAGCAGGTGAAGCAGTGGGCAGCTGAGATGCTGGTGGCACTGGAGGCATTACATGAGCAGGGGGTGCTGTGCCGGGACCTCAATCCCCGGAACCTGCTCCTGGACCAGGCAGGTAGGAGCCCGGACCACCCTACTCTGCCTCACCCCAAGGAGGGAGACTCCCAGAGTTAAGGGGACCTTGGAGGTGTGCCCCCAACCCAGGCCCTGCAACCTGGCCTTTCTTATGGGACTCTGTTCAACCCTGGCTGGCCTTTCTCCATGAGTTGAGGGCAACAGCTCCCAGAACATCTGGTGGTTTCTGGGCCCCAGAGGCCAGGCCCTGAGGGAGGCTCTGCCCAGCATGACCTTTGGTCCTTCCATGTGCTTGAGTTGGGGAAGCCCTGGGACTGCCTCCATGCCAGCTGCTCAGTGATGCCACCCTCAAGCCTTTTCCCTCATCATTCCTCTCTACACATGCTGGACGAGAAGGTCATATCCGGCTCACATATTTTGGCCAGTGGTCAGAAGTGGAGCCCCAGTACAGCAGGGAGGCTGCAGACCACCTTTACAGTGCCCCAGGCAAGAAGGGGGGGTCCCTAGGTCTTGGGTACCTTTGTGTAGGTTGAGCCTGGGGACTGAGGGTGACTGGGGATGGGCAGTGTCTACTAGGATGAGAATGGAGGGCACTTTTGGGTGAAGCAAGGATGTATGTGTTCTTGTTCCCGCAGAAGTGGGGGGGATTTCTGAGCTGACTGAAGCTTGTGACTGGTGGAGTTTTGGGTCATTACTGTATGAGCTGCTGACAGGAACGGTGAGTAGAAAGCCCTGGTGGGTGCCAGTGAAGTGCAGTTCAGTTCAGTTCAGTCAGCCAACATCTGGGCAGAGGCTGCCAAGACCTGGCCATTGGACTGGACATCCTGCCACTCTTCAGGCCACCAGAGATAGGGGCTATTGTAAAAGAGACTGTCAGGTTCTGTGAATGAGTTAAGATGGTCAAGGAAGGTTTCTGGAAGAACGTGTCTGGGCCTACAATTGAGGAGAAGGTAGAATTTGACACCGGCCCCATCCCCTGGAAGGCCTCTTGATCATCCCTTGCCACCTCCCAATTGCTTACTCCTCCCAACCATGCCCTTCTGGGCTGTAACCCAGATCTTAGCTAGAGGATGGGAGAGGGCTCTTTGTCCAGGCCCGCAGTTAGTTGCCCTGTCCAGTCTGAGTCAGCCAAGAGCTAAGGCTCCCCCTCAAACATTTTACTCAGAATGGTGGTCTGGCCTTTGCCCAGATGAGGTCAGCACTACATCTGGGGCCAGTTAGGCTGGGAGGCAAGAGAACCCAAGCTGCATGGGTGGGAAATGGCTGGAATGGATGCAGTATGAGCTAAAGTTCACACCTGACCAGTCTCTCCTACTTTTGTCCCATAGCTCAGGGCCTCTGAAAACCCTGGCTGCAAATATTTCCCCACCTCCCCACATGGCTCTCCTGGTCTACCTCCCAGGAGCTTCTTGTGTCTTATTCTTACCTCTAGACAGACTTTCTGCTCTCCACAGCTGCACTTGGGGTGTGGAGAGGTCCTGCTTTCTTCTGTCACCACATCCCTGTCTTGGCCTTGATGACAGCATGCCATGGCCTGCTGTCAAATGTGGAGGCTTTTTTTTCTGTAAGGAGACAGTGCTGTTCTCAATACAGTATCCACCCTGATTGCAGCCCAAGATTGATGCTGCTAGCAAGCTTGCAGCCAGAGGGGCCTGGGTTCAAACCCTGACCTCAGCACAAGTCCCTTTTCCTCTGAGCCTGCTTCTTGTCTTTAACGGATAAAGGTATGTTGGGGATCCAGCTCAGTGTCTGGCACATAGTAGGTAATAAGCAAAAGGCAACTATCAGCAATGTCATTCCCATGGACTGTGACATAGGGTGGGGTAGGGGACAGTCCTGAAGTGTACCTTTCCTGTGGTTGCCTCTTTAGAGGTCCCTCTTGTATCCTCCTAGGCATTGTCCCAGAACCACCCTTCAGGGTTCCAAGCCCACACCCAGCTTCAGCTGCCGGAGTGGCTCAGTCACCCAGCAGCCTGTCTACTGACTGAGGTGAGGTGCAGTCCAGCGGAGAGCAGTCAACTACTTAGCCTATGGGTGGGGACTGGAGGGACAGAATCTCCACAACTATGTGTGAGCTGTATGTGCTAATGTGGGGGCCCTCACTGGCTAACCATCACCAATGTCCCTTGGGCTAAGTTGGCAGGGCCTGGAGTCCCTGGAGCTGCTCGGTGGTGGGGGTGGGGAAGGATGCCTGAGTGCTGACTGGCCTCCCTTCACAGCTGCTGCAGTTCAATCCTGAGCGGCGCCTGGGTGTTGGAGGGGGCGGCACCAGCAAACTCAAGTCCCACCCCTTTTTCAGTACTATCCAGTGGAGCGACTGGCAGGGTAAGAGGGGTGGGCAAAGTGGGCATGGAAGCAGCTGGCCTGTGCTGGATGTCCTGTCTCTGCCTGTCACCCAGGGCTGGCCCCTCTCATCAATGGGCTTCAGGAGAAGAATGTAGAACAGCTGGCTTTCCTGGTCGGGTCTCAGAAGCAATGACTTCCACTGTCCTTGGAGAAGCTGCCCACTGGAGAGGAGAGGGGTGGCAAGGCCCACCTTACTAAACAGTTGAACACCCTTCCATTGATAGTCAATAGACACCTGTTGAGGGCATTCCTTGTACCCCTAACACAGGTTAAAGGGTACCTTCTGAAATACTGACCACCTGCTGAGCCGACAGTGTGTGTAGTGACAGTCATGCTGTGCCCCACTTGGGACATCTCTGGAGATTCATCTCAGGATACTTATCACTGGCTCTGTGGACATAAGTCAGAGCTGTCCTGGCTATCTGTCTTAAGTAACACAACCAGTGGGCTACTTTCACCAGAAGGTGGTACCATGGGGGTGGGGAGGCTGGGAATCAGGGAAGAATTCAGTGGGGGGGCGGGGTCAGGAGGAGAACATCCTAATCCTGACCTGGTCCCTATCTTTATGATTTCAGACTTGACTTGAGAACAAAGGGAGGTGGGGAGCCTCAGAGGACTGGTGGAATGGAGCAATAAGGGGGGAGGAGCGGCAGCAGCTTTGCCACTTAGAGCAAGTTTGGAAACAGAATACAAAGGGCTCTTCCCCAGCTGGCCCATAGGTCTGGGAGAGGCTGAAGCCACTAGGACTTGTGCCAATTAGGATTCTCTCCTCAGGCCTTGGTTCTGTTCACCATTCTGGTGGTGAAGTTCTACTCAATTCATTGCCCACTGTGACTTCATCCCCTTTTGAAGTGAGAAACCACAAAACATATGGACAGATCACCCACATTTTTAGCCAGAAGCAAGTTGTTTCTGGTCTCTGAAGAACTGGGTTAAGTGGGTAGCCCAAAGCCGACCCCTCCCCAGGTTTGAGGGACTCCCCAGGACGGGTATGGCACCTGAGACAAATTTTCATCAGGCATATCCCCAGCTCCTTCCAAGCAGCATCTCCAACACCACCAGGTGGCACCTCTCACAGCTCATCAGTGGGGTAACTATACTTTTGGGCCAGATATTTGTGTCCTGGGGAGGCTGAATCTGGGCAGATGAGTAAAACAAAACCTGTGACCCATGCTCCATTGCTCACATCCTGGCTGACCTGGGGTTTGCCCATTCTCTAATAAAGTCTCCTCTTCCTATGATGTCCTTGCATCATTAATTCCAGGTGGCTTGCAGGAAGGCTCCAAGATTGTAAGGCTCCATTACAGAAGCTGAAGAGTGAGCCTGGGGGTTGCTAGGAAGCAGCCTGAGCCTTTACCAACCACCCTTGGTCCTCAGGGGAAAATAAAGTAAACCCATCTATCACCAGCTCCTACATCTAGGACTCACTTCTTTTCTGAGACAGACCTCCATGGAGGGATGGCCTCACTGCAAACAAAACCAGGATAAAGACTCAGTGTATAAACATATGCCTGTGTTTGAGCCTGGACTCCATCATGCCTGTCACCTACAGTCAGTCTAGGTTAGCCACTAACACTGTCCACTGACCCTCAGAGACCACTGCTTGCAGATGACCTTCCTTCATTTGCTCACACTGAAATCAAGCCTCTTGGTACACCTGTGACAAGTCCAAGTAAAATTAGATGTCTCACCTCTCTCCAATCCATCCCAATTATGCAAGCCCCTACAACAGGGCAACTGTCCTCTGATGTTCTGAAGGGCTGCCACACAGCTGGGAGCCACAATTTCTGTTTAATTAGCAAGCCAGGCTCACAGGATCCCTAGAAGGAAGCTAGGGCACTAACAGATTGGTGAACCTCCCTAGCTGGCAGTCAGGGTTCTACCATCTGTCAAATTAGTTAACTTCTATCAGTGTTAACTTATGTCAAAAGAATGGGACAACTGGGTGTGGTGTACACATCTGTAATCTCAACTACTTAGGAGGCAGAGATCAGGAGTGTGGTTCAAGGCCAGGCAGGCAAAAAGTTAGTGAGACCCCCATCTCAACAAATAAGCCAAGCGTGGTACACATCCATAATTCTGACTAGGCAGAAGGCATAGGTAGGGGGATCGGGGTCTAAGACTAGCCCCAGGGAAAAAGTACATGACCTATCAGAAAACAAACAAAAAAGGACTGGGGAATGGCTCAACTAGTAGAGTATCTACCTAGCAAATGCAAGGCATGGAGTTCAAACCCCACTACCACCCAAAAAGTGGGGGGGCGGGTGGGAGAGAAAAGGTATGGGACAACATAGAATAGCCAAAGCTAATGACATCCTTGGTGCAACAGTGCTGGAGCTTGTACAACCCCAGTAACCAAAAGAAACAGATGCAGGAACCGTTTGAGAACATTTGCCCTTTAATTTTCATTCAAATTCAGTTCCTTTAAATATTTTAGTTACAAGTTCTGAATGGTGAAGACTTAGTAGTAGATGCTGCAGGCACTCAGTACTTGTCCTTCCCCCAGCCCTGCTTCTTGGCTCAAGATAAAAAGGGCACTCTGCGCTAACTGATGGCCCCATGTCAGGTGTCAGGAGTCAGGCCTTGGTGCAGTTGGATACAAAGCCATGAAGCCTAGTAGCCTTCTTGACAAGTTATTTGTATTTAACCATGCTTCAAGGAATTCCAATGATTGTGCAGGACCGAAGGGCAGTACCTTAGAGAAGACATCAGCCATTTCTTCACATGTGCCAACACCTTGAGGCTGGTTCCACCATAGTCCATCCTCCCTAGATCTGTGTCCTGCAGGGCAGGCACAAGGCCCAGCTCCCTATAGGCTACAAGTCGGGGAGGAAGAGAACAACTTCCTCAGTCCACATGCTTATACCCAGTTCAATTTAAAAGCTTGAATCAATCTCAGCCAGTTAGAAGACATCTCCACTTGCCAGGTTCTGTCCCACTATCATGATGTACTAGAATGTGTTCTAGTAGCCTAGAAAAGGTTGGCATGACCACAGCTGAGTGAGGTTCTTCCTGGAGAGAGCCTATGACAGAGTATGAGGGCGGGCTTGGGTTCTCTCATCAGTGAACAACATGTGACCTCAGGGGATTCTGCCCTCTCCCCAAACCCCCAGATCTTCTGCCCCATGCTTCCTGGAAGAGGTAGACGAGGCATCTTGAAGCCACTGACAGCTGAGAATGACAGTGCATTTAAGAAGCAAAGCAGCACCTCTTTGCCCGTGTTTAATACCTCCACAAAGGTGCCATCAATTGAGAGTGCAGAGCCAGGACAGAGGCTGCTTTGAGCTTGGGAGGTACAGCATCCTCCTAGGCATCTCTGGAGAACAGACTTTCCAAAGACAGAAACTTAATCACATGGTCCCCGGTGGCTTCCCTATAGTACACTGGCACTAGGAAGAAACAAAATTGTCTTTGCAGAGGTGAAAGGCAGAAATATTAATGAGCATCCATTTAGGCTTTCTCACTCTCTTTCTCAAGCCTAATGATACAAGATATTAGAAGGCAAAAGAAAGGCATACAGAGGGAGAGAGCCTGGCAGAAACATCAAGAAAAGGCCTGCAACTGCTGGTTACATCGTGCCATAGTTTCCTTGCTTGAGGCCAACAGTATGTGCCTGCCTGTTACCAGGCTAATCTGGGACTCACAAGGGGACTGGGAGAAGACTGATTTTTCAGTTCCTGCATGATCAACTGGTAGGGCATGTGGCTTCTTCCTAAAGGTCCAGAAGAAGGACTCTGGGATCCTCTACCGCTGCCTTGATTTTGCGGAGGAAAGTCACAGCCTCTCTGCCATCAATCAGCCGGTGGTCGTATGTCAGGGCCACATACATCATAGGCCGCACTTCAACCTGGAAAGAGAAGTCAACAGGTTTGTCTCCAGCAGGTCAGAGAAAGTCCTGCTGAGAGAGGGAGATGAGAAAGCACAGCCCACTGCAAAGTCCTAGATCCAGTGTTGCCACTGGATAACAAGATATTTTCAAAGACCAAACTTTACCCTTACAGCAAAGTTCTCTCAAAGTTTAAACAAGAAAACAGTTTCCAAACAACAGTCTTAAACATAAGCATACTCTGCCTTCTAACTCATCTGTTGCCTAGAGAAAAGTTTCCTCTTCATTTCTAGCTGCCTGCAGTAGCTGCTTTGGAGCTACAATTTATTATTTTTTGCAGTGCTGGGGATCCAACACAGGACCTTGGCATAAGTTAGACAAGCACTCCATCACTGAACCACACCCCTAGCCTTAGTGTTACAATTTAAAGAAAAAAAAAAAAGTGTTTAACCTGGAGTCCAAAAACTCCTTGATACTATATGCCAAACTGGATGTGCAGCCATTTTCCTGGAAAATCTATGGTTTTTGATTCACCAAGGTGTTAGTAATCCAAGAAGGCTCTAAACCTGGAATCTCAGAAAGCTTTTTCCTACTAACATAGCTTCCAAAAGCTAGCTCAAGCCCCCTTGATTACATTCCTTGAACTCTCAGGAAACTTTCGAGCCTCATCATATAACTCTGCAGCTTGTAGACTGCTATGCATTCTTCCCATTCATTTCTTGGCAGTAAGGAGCATGTATTCTCCATTCCCTACCTAGACGATAAAGTATGTCAACAGCCCCAGATGAATAGACAGGCCTCCTCAGCTCAATGGTTCTCAAGTTTTAGCATGCACCAGAATTGTCTGCACTTTTGCTTCTGTGGGTCTGGGATGAGGTCGAATAATTTGCATTTCTAACAAATTCCCAGATGATGCTGATCCACAGGCCACAAGTTCAGAATCAGTGCCTCAGCTATTAATTAAAAACTAAGAAATGGATCTTAAGCCTGAAATTATGTTGAATGCTTTATAATAACCATTTAGTTAGATTTCCCTCTCATCACCTCTAAGATGGTTCTTACCTTGCCTCCCACAGCCACTGGCCTGTCAAAGATGCCATGCATGCCCAGGATGGCAGACTGAGGGGGGTTGATAATGGGTGTTCCAAAAAGCGAACCAAAAACACCTCCATTGCTAATGGTGAAAGTACCACCATCCATATCTTCAATGGCAAGCTCATTCTTTCGGGCCTAAAAACAAATTTCATAATTGAAACATTAAGCTAGCCTAGGTTCCTTCATTCAAAGAAAGTCCAGAAAGCTCCTGAGATCAGCAGTACAAGCTCTAGCTTCTACAGAAGAGTTGTTCTGCTGAGGTGACTGTGACCAGTGCTCCACCAGAAAAAAAGAAACGATTCCACAGCTACTTCTTCCAGCAGCTCTTGTCTGATGAGATCCTGGTCATCTCAGTATGCTAGGCTTGCCCAGTAGTTAGCTCTTATGGACTACTTTCCAGTGGCTATGCATTCCTTAAGGAACAAAGTAAGACTAGCTCCTTGAGCAATGCTAGCTGGCAGGCCCCAACTTCTTTGGGCTCTTTTCCCCTCACCTGCCCAGCAGTTCACACACAAGTCTGTCTACTTTACCTTCTCTCCCAGTTCACTGATGGTTCGTTCAATATCTGCATAATTCATACTTTCCACATTCCTGATGACAGGAACCACAAGACCCTAAAGGGAGTATAAATTCATTTTCAGTTACAATAATACTAGTACCTTTTAAACTCCCTTGATCCAATTCCTAAAGGTCTGCCCTACCCAGCATACCTTTACTATTCACTATTTACTATTCACAGAAAGTCTAAGGTATTTAGGTTTTACAGTTAAGATAAAGGAATGTGGGATGATTAAAAAAAGAAAATGTTACTTGTACTAACTACCTTCTAAAAATACAGGATTATGGAAATGATCTCTTCCATGAGATCCCCACCCTCCTGTCCCAACATACCCGTGGGGTGGCCACTGCAACACTGATGTCGATGTAATCCCTATACACCACTTCTTTGGTTGCATCATCAATCACTGTAAGAGAGAAAACACATGTTACATACAACTCATCAGGCCAAGGCTAATGAGCTAATATTCACATTAATAGAGTAAAAATCTACAGTGCGGACTGACCAACCAAAATGAAAATGATTACATTACAAATAGCAGCTAGCACTCCACTTACTCCCATCCCAAGTCTCTGAATGAACCTGAGTATTTTAGATCCACTCTTTGACAGCTGTCAGAAGGTTCAATATACTGGCTTAAAAGGGTAAGAGCTCATTAAGTTCTTGTTAGCAAGTTGTACTCAGGTCCTTCCTGAGCACAGAATAGCTAGGGTTAACAAATGCTCCAAAAAAGGCAAATGAGCAAAAAAGAAAGGCATAGGGACGCTGCTCATTCTGCTTCCCACCCTCAACAATGGGAAGAGAGAAGCTTCTTTCTAGGAGACTTGTAAGTAGGGTGGTCTGGCTTTTAAATATGTCAGCTTGACAGCAAACCAGAAGCTGAAAATTTACATCTAGCACTCATGAGAAAATAAAGGCTTGAAAATCTCTTCCACAGGAAAAAAGTCTATGTTGTACTGTTAGCATGTAAAGGACAAAAGGTGCCTAGAGAAGTTTGAGAGATGACTACAAGTATGGGCACACAGAATTAAACAGGGCCAACAGAAAAGATGGAAAAGCCAGTCAGGAAGGCATGAGAAAAAGGGGAGAAACAAAAAAGAGGAATGCATTTGGGCAAAACAAAGACAGTCCTTCTACCTACCCAGAGCACAGCACTCAATGGAAGGAACTAGGGCTTCTATTCTAGATCTTGCTGAGGATTGTAAAAGTGTCACTGCCTCCTCTCCAATCTTCCAGGGAACAGAGAAGTATGTCAAGAGCAAGAAGGGAACTGCTTGTGAGTGAGTAAAAAGGAAGGAAAAAGAGTATCCAGTCCATGAAAGAGAGACCAAGCCCAAAGTTTCCCAATGAGGCCCACTGACCTGAGATCAAAGGTATGTGGGGAAAAAATAGTGTGGAAGTTAAGCCCCAAGACAAGGGCCCATAAAACTGGGGAAGGGAAGAAAGCAGCCAGAACTTGTGCCTCTCCAGTGACATGACATAGCCTAGAGAACTGAGCTGCCCCAGAACTGCCTATTGTCGTATCAGAGCAGTTTGCCAAGCTGTGCCTTAGAAAAAAAAACTGTTTACCCATCTGTAGGGAAAGTAAATCACGGCTTTAAATGCATGCAAAGAGTATCCAAAACACCCAATTGATCAGCTGTGTGTAGATTTCCTTTTAACTTCCATACATGACATAATCCTTCAACCCAAAAGATCAATTACACCAGGAATGGAGCCTGTGCATTTCAGTCACTGAGAGCAAATGATAGGTAGTTCAGGAAGGCCAAGAGAGTAATCCCAGGGGAAGATGGTCATATTTACAGTTATGAAATAAAAAGCCTTGATCTGCTGACCCCCAAATGTGAGAACAGGTGTGTGTTCAGTAAACCTTCCCAAGACCTTTGCAATTCTTGTCACAGGAAACTCACCTGCATTTACAACAGGTTGCTCCTGCAAAGCAAAGGCTGAGGCCTTCACAAATGCTGACATGAAGCCTAGTTTGAGACTATGTTTCTTCAGGAAAGCATCCTTGTGCCGAGCCCTCATCTCCTGGATGTTACTGTAAAAACAAGTTACAAAATTAACCACAAATGAAGCACTGACTTTGACTTTCACACAGGTTTCTACTAAGTACACAACTGGTTGAGATTTTCCTTTATTTTGGACCATCTATTTATAGCAGTCCCATAACATAAATCAGCCCCATAACATCTCAGGAATGTTTGGAAGCACACACAACCTGGGAGATAGCAGAGGAACCAGCTTGGCCAGAGGACCAGAAGGTGCAGGAGGTCCATGCGTGCCAACAATGGACATATAGGATTCCACTACGAACTGTTCTTTAGGTCAAGGCAAAAGCCTTACATATATATGTATGTATATATATATATGTGTGTATATATATATATATATATATAAAACTCCTACTCCAGCGCTCAGGGGAAACCCAGTTTCCTGACCCCGCTGTGTGCCTCTCCACTCAGCCTTTCTCTATCAATACAATTCTTTCCTGCCTGTAACTCTGGTGCTCCTGTTTCTTAATCTTAAGAGTGTTTGAGAGCAAGAGCCCTGTGACACGTCCGTGGACCCCCATGACAAAAGTATTTCTACTAAAATCATGAACTATCCATCTTGAAAAAATAGTATTTAAGTTTTAATATAAACGAAGTCGACAAAAGCAATATTCTTTTTGTTAGATTTTTTTTAAAAAACACCACCAGCTCTGATTACTTGTGACACTATCTGATTAGCAGAGAAAAAAGGAAAAAAAAGAAAAAAGAAAAACTGGGCACCAGTAGTAGCTCAGGCTTGTAATCCTAGCTACTTGGGAGGCTGAGATTTAGAGAACTACAGTTCAAGGCCAACCTGAGCAAAGAGTTCAAGAGATCCCCATCTCCAAAAAACCAGAGCAAAATGTACTGGAGGTGTGTGTGGTTCAACTGGTAAAGTGCCTGCTTTGCAAACAAGGAAGCCTTGAGTTCAAACCCCAGTTCCACCAAAAAAAGAAAAACGAACTACAGGTGACAAGATGAATAGGCTCTACGCAAGTAGGAAGGCAACCCAGTGTTCCTTAAGGCTCCTAAGAAAGTCAGCAGATTCACTCTTCATTTCCTCAGAGTTAGCAGTTCCATTCATTTGTTACTAACACCCACCACATGTGAGGGTTGTCAGGGTCAAAGCTGGGCACCAAGATAATAGACAACTGGGCAGTGCCCACCCTTAAGATCCCTTTAATGACTGTAGTTTCCTTGGTATTTAGAAAAGTGGCTCTGTGTGTACTGAACCTCAGCCCCTTTGTATTCAGCAGTAGGGCCTTGCTACTGAGAACCCTTTAAAACTTGAACATCCTTTGGTTTGTCAAGGCTTCCCCGCCAACACGCACACACACTGCAGTTAGTGGGAAATGGCTTTCTCATGATTTTGTTACAGAAACCTCAGTATTTATTGGAATAGTATTCTGTGATGGAAATTAATTTTATCTCAAGCCCAAAGGCTCTGGCTTTGGGTCTCCTTTTCCCCCTATAATGGCCTAATTAGACATTAGCATGAAAAAGACAAGGCATGGTACCACTTTAACTGCCCCCTTCAGACCTTCTGTTTTTGAAAAAGGAAATTTTCCTGGGGGTACTGATTGTGTTTAAAATGTTTGTTTTCCTGAGTCTAACCTTATTTTAGTGCTAGGATTACTGCCCTAAAGACATTATCAGTTCCCAAGATACAAGGGCTGCAAAAGAGGGAAAGAGAAGTGATAAACATCTCTGCTCTCAGACCTTCCTGAATGCCACTGTCTGGTCATTAAGGAGTTTCTATTTCAAAGCTTTGCCCTTGGAGGCAGAGCTGGGACAACAGGGGAAAGGAGGAAGTCTCAGAAAGGCCTCTGTGGGTTGGCTGATTGGCATAAGACCCAAAGGATGCTCGATCTAAACCAGATTACTGGCTGCAGTGAGACCCCGGGCCATTGTTAAGTGACACCTCAATTAGCTGCTGAAAGGAGATCCAACTACTAAACTTACCTTCCAATCAAGGCTGTTAGGCCAACTACATCTTTCAGAGTCACAAATATTTACATGTTTCATCTTAAGAAACTGGCTAGAATTTCAAAGTTCAATTCAATTTGTGTACAATTTGGCCCTAATGTACTGAAACATAAGCTGCAAGCTTTGTGATTCATTAGGCAAGGTCCTTCCCTACATACTATGGGTAGCACAGAGTATCACATCAAGTTTCTTTAGAAAGCTTCTTGACAGAACGGAGACATCTAGTGCAATTAGCCACAGAGTCCTACCCTGTCAACAAACCACTCCCTTCTCTTTTTCAGGCCCCTTCCAAAGGAAGAAAAACAAATTCTCCTAATGAAAAGCAGATGGGAGACTTAACACTCAGAATAAAAGGAAAGCAAAGAGATGGCCTAAAGACTTGATGATCTGCCTCCTGATTTAACATAAATTCTTACCTAGATATTCAAAACCTTCTGAAATCTGGATTCAGCCTTTACCATTCTTTTCTATATATATTCATCATGGCAGAAATGATCTTTCACAACTTCTTTACTTTCCTGCCTGTGTCATAGTCCAGACTGTCTGCGATGCCAAAATGTCTTTTTTTTTTTTTCTTGGTGGTACTGGGGTTTGAATTTAGGGCTTCACAGTTGTCAGGCAGGAACTCTACCACTTAAGCCACTCCACCAGCCCTATTTTGTATTGGGTATTTTCAAGATAGGCTCTCACTTTCTGACCAGGTGGCCTTCAAACCATGATCCTCCTGTTCTCTGCCTCCTGAGTAGTTAGGATTAGGCATGAGCCACCTGTGCCCAGCAAATGCTAATCATTCTTGAAGGCCTACTAAAACTCTTTCCTCCCAGATACCTTCCCTAACCCTATTCTTGCTACCTCTACCCCCAACATCAAAAGCTAATGAACTCACCCCTTTTCCACTTTTTTCCCCCAGATTTTACTCTGTGTTCATACAAACTAGATGGTAAGCTCTAAGGAGCCAGGGGCTTCCTTCACTTGTCTTTGTATCCCCCTTAAATTCTACACTTTAGTTCCCTGTATAAAGTAAGCATTCAAAAAATCTTGCAAACAGAGGCTGGATGCAAGTGGCTTACTCCTGTAATCCCAGCTACTCAGGAGGCAGAGATCAATCAGGAGAATTGTGATTTGAAGCCAGCCACAATTCGAGAGACCCTATCTTGAAAATACCCAACACACACACAAAAAAAAGGACTGATGGACTGGCTCAAGCTGTAGAGTGAGTGCCTGCCTAGCAAGCGTGAGGCCCTGAATTCAAACCCCAGAACTGCAAAAAATAAAAATGAAAAACGTGAGCCAATAATTACCTCACTACAGAAATGGGTCCCATTGGTTAACATGTGAAGTTTTTATTTAAAACACAACTTGCTTTCCATTTCACTATCAAAGCTGGGAAGAGTAAGAGAGGCAAACTTTGGACTTTTCACTTGCCTGATTCTGAGTTGCTTAGGAACAAGCACAAAGAGCAATCACTGTGAGGAAGAAGCAGAGTGTGGCGCCTCAGTTCTGGGCATGCTATCAAGGGTTCACACCCTCAAGGGGCAGGCCTGGAAGTACTGGCCTACTGGCCCAGTTGCCTTATCTTTGTTTGGCAATTAAACACTCATCATCAGAGTTTAAGACTTTACTAGACTTATTTATCAGAAATCATAAGATTCAACTATAAAAGTCTAAAAGGTTAAGTTTCTTAAATCATAGAGAAGGCAAGCATCAATATTACCAAGTCAATGAGAGAATGAAACCAACGGTCACCCTGTGTAAGTCAACAACAAGCCAAGTGAAGAATATCTTTCAGCTAGTTTTGAAATCAGCACTAGGTAGGGACTTCGGCAAGTTCAAATGTTCTCCAAGAAAAACAGACATGAGGAGAAAGAGGGACAAGAGATATCCCACCTCATGTCAATCTCATTGAAAGTAGTCAGCATTGCACATGTATTCTGGGCCTCCTTCAGACGCTGAGCTATGCGCTGACGCATCCTGTTCATTTTCTCCTGAAATGAAAGCAGAACAAGTATGGACAATCTGATCTCTCTGGGTAAAGGCTTCACCACGGAGTTAAGAGAAAGACTCAGCTTGCCAGGAGTGAATGGCAAACACAATGGTATTTAAATACAACCAGAGATCCAAGCTTCCCTTTCCTATCATGGCCTTTCTCTCTGAGCTTGAACAAGAAAACAGAGGTTAAAACTACTCACTCAGATGTACCTGAAGTTTGACCAAGAATAGAGGCAGAGGAAATGGTGTGATTTAAAAACCAAAACCAATTTACAAAAAGGAAGAATGTGGTGTAGGTGTAGCTAACCTAACAATCATTACAGAAAGAAAAATTTCTATTGATAAAACTTGCATGAGAACAGCCACTTGTGGAACGGAAACTCAAGACTAACACACTTTTGAGGCTGCAGTATTTTTAGGAAGTATTCTCAGGCAGAGGAACCCACACTCTTGGCCATACTTCCTTGAGGTTTTATGTGTGCCCCTCATAACTACTGCTACTGTGTAATATACGCCTTAGCAACAGCTAAGTATCCAAAGTCTAGGAAAAGAGCTCTCACCAAACCATCGCTGAAGTATGTATCTTCATGGGAATGGGGGGGTGTTACTAAATTACTATTCCCTGCAAATATTTTACTCACTGGAGGTATTTCATTGGTGGTATATTAGAGTGGAAAAATCACTGAACAGACATGCAGAAGACCTCAGGTTCTAGTCAGATCATTTGATGGTTATGTGGCCACGAGCAAGTCACTCCACTACTGTCAACACCGCACCCAACCCCCTTTTCCTGGAAATAGTCCTCAGAGACTTACCCGATGTTCTGTACGCAGTCCTCTGCCAGCTCCTGGCTCAGCTAGTGGAGGGACAGCAGTGGGTTTTACTGCAGACACTGCAAATGAAGAGAGGGGGCACAGCTGCATCACAGAGAGAAAGAAACATTCATTGGGTGTGTGCCTATGCCTTCATACCATACTGTCACTTAATGCTACAAATATTCTGAGGCATACTAGTATCATTCTGACCTCACAGATGACAATCTGCTCAGAGAAGTCAAGTAATCAGCCTAAACTCATACAGTTAGAAAACAGAAAGCTGGGATGCAAATCCAGGTCTTCAGATACAAAGTCTAGAGTTCTACAAAGCAGCCAATCTGGTCTGTTCAGAGACATGAATGGTCTCAGACTCTACCTGGTGAGGAAATGTCTGCTAGATGACATTTTCTTCTCCCACAGAACAATATGTGGGAGTTGGGGACTTACCTGGTTTGCTAGAAGGAGTTTGTGAGGGTGAGGGTACCGGTGGCATCTGAGTGGGAATGGGTGCTACAGGGGGAGAAGGAACTGCTGATGCTGCAGGTTCTGCTTTTGGGGCCTCAGCAGGAGCTTCAGCTGGTTTGGCTTTAGCAGGAGCAGCTAGAAAACAGGAAAAATAGATACTATTGGTACTGCCTGGAATGGAAATCAAACCAAATTGCAGATACTAAGCAGAATTCACTCCAAAACCTCTACTTCTAATCCACTAATAAATGTCTACTGGGTATTTGTTATATCCAAGATACTATGAGATACAAACAATGACACAGGCACTATTCTCTATTTCCCCGACTCCTAAATGTCCTATATCAGATAACAGGCTCAATTCAGCACCTTCCCCAATTTCACCGTCTATTGGCCATCAAATTCAGCATGTACTTTCAAATACCTACTAAGCCCAAAGAAATCAAAACGTCCAAGTAAAAAAAAGCTCAGGTAACTGGGTGTCATGACTCGGGCCCAGCACTTGGGAGGCAAAGGCAGGAGTTGGACACCAGCCTGGGCCACATAGTGAGCTCCAGGCCAGTGTGATCTATATATGGAGACCTTGTCTCAAAAAGAAAAATAGATAAAAATAAAAAAACTCAGGCAATTTAAAATGGTTGAAATATAAACATGAATTTTTTTTGTTTTGGTGGGGAATGGGGTTTGAACTCAAGGCTTTACACTTGCAAAACAGAAGCGCTCTACCACTTGAGCCACACCTCCAGTCCATTTTACACTTATTTTGGAGATAAGGTTTCAGGAACTATTTGCCCTAGCTGTCCTCAAATAATGATCCTCCAAATCTCAGCCTACCAAAAAGCTAGGATTACAGAAGTGAACTACTGGCACCTGACAGCGTGTTTCTAATTAAAGCAATACTGATATGCTCATTTATTTTAACATCACATATATGCTTAGCCATTAAAACATAAGGCTTATGAGTTCAAAGCATCCCATCCAGGATGACTCTCAGTAGTTATGAACCAATGAGATGGTCAAGTTATGAATTCATGACATTAAATTAGGTATTTCAATTTTTACAATCTAGATGCTATATCCAATTTTATAATTAAATTAGAAGAACTTTTATTTTCACAGTAAGAAATGATCAGAAGATGAATTTCAACTGGAAGACTCATTCTTACTTCCTCTGTTATTACATATTTTTCCCACTTTGGGTTTGGTCTTGGCCTGTTCAGCCTCAATGATGCAATCTTTCATCTTTCTGCTTAACTGTTTTAATTAGGAAGAAAAAGGGTTTAGTAGTTATAATATTTAACTAAGTAAAAAAAAAAAAAAAAAGATTATCTTGGACAAATTCCTTTCTTTTACATTTCTTCCCAGGAGAATTAACCAACTTTTACTAGAGGTGTTACTTGAGAACAGATGTGAAAACAAACTATACTGAATTCTTAACAGACACCAGGAAATAACTCTCCTTCTCATTTTGGTACAGTGGCTCTCAGACCTGTCTATGTATCAGAATCACTTGGGGATCATTTAAAAAAATAACCGAACTATAATAGATAACCAGGATCTGATAAATCAGAATCTCTGGGGCATGGAATCTAGGCATTTGTATTACATTTAAAGCTTCCATGTAAATCTGATGTGGAGGGAGTGGAGGTCATTATCTTTAGAATCTTCTTCACTTCTCTTATGTCTTTAGAAAAAGGTCCAGTAGTTGCCTAGCAAGTATAAGACTCTGAGGTTCAAATCCAGGGCTGCTTTCAAAAAAAAAAAAAGTCTGGTTCTAGAAACATCCACAGAAAGAACAGAAGCTGGGCACAAGTGGCTCACAACTGTAATCCTAATTACTTGGGAGGCTATCAGGAGGATTATGGTTTGATGCCAGCCTGACAAAGTTTGTGAGATCCCCATCTCCAAAATAACCAGGGCAAAAATGGACTGGAGATGTGACTCAAGTGATAGAGCACTTGCTTTGCAAGCACAAAACCCTGAGTTGAAAGTTCCACAAAAAAAAAAAAAAAAAAAAATCCAAACAAACAAAAACAGTATCATGAAGATGAAGCTTATATTTTTTTAACTACCCTTTTCTTTTAGAACTTGACATTTAAAGTTCGTACAGTATGCTCAGCCCCAGTCCCAAGGGGGAACACCGGAGACCTTGACCACCAGGAGAACTTCTTTACCACCAGTTTTCCTGAGTGTGAAAAGAGGAGTGCCTCCTTCAACTTTTCCTCCATCAGGTACCAAAAGAGCTTCGATCACACCATTTGCTGGTGATGGAACCTGCACAGATGTCTGAAAAAGCGGGAAAGAGAGAGAGAGTCTACATTTTTATACAGCATTAGCCAATTCATTGCATGGAATCACCAACATGAGTCACAACATGGTTATACAAAGCCCTGCAACAGAAATACGTAAGGCCACATTTTCAGAGTCAGAGCAATGACAAGTCATTGCTGTTGTGAAGATTCACTCTTTTTGTCCTTTCTTGGAAACATTAAAGCAAAATTCAGTTAATGTGTTTCCAAGTGATATATGGAAAAACAACTAGAAACAGCTTACGAACCACCAAAAAACAAAACAAAAAAACCCCAAAAAACTTACCAAAGTTAGTAAGTTACATAGTATATACCTGTAGAACAATCTAAAATTAAACTTTAATAAATGCCTTTTCTTTTTAATGATCTACTCCAACATTTTTACAACTGAGGTTAGAGATAGTTAAATATTATCTTTAAGCAACAGCTAAATTCTTATTTCTTTCCTTAGGTTAAAAAACTAAGGAATGGAGCTGGAAGTGTGGCTCAAGCAGTAAGACACCTGCTTAGCAAGTGTCAAGCCCTGAGTTCAAAGTCCAGTACTGCTAAAAAAAAAAAAAAAAGGAAAGGAATGACCATGAAAAATTGTCACTAATACAAAATAAACCCACCTTGTCAGTTTCAATCTCACAAACCACTTCATCTTCTGCAACTGTGTCTCCAACAGCTGAAAACACAACCAAAGGCTACCTATTAGGGGGGAGCCTCCAGTAGCCATAAAACCCCTTTTGCCAGATGTGTTACAAGACCCCTTTCCTGGAGAGCCAGGTGGAAGTAGGTACAGTGTAGCTATAGGTTCCACTGATTATCATGGGGAGAAGGGAGACTTTTAGGAAGGATTTAAGAAGGGAGAGAAAATTAAATTTTACCTTTCTCCCACCTGACATCTCCCTCTGTGACAGATTCTGCAAATGCTGGGGTTTGAACTGTAATCACATCATCCTCTAGGAAAAAAGCAAAACAGAAAAATCACAAGTCCATTTTTTCTTTAAACTTGGTTGTTGCTCTTTCCATAAGAATTCCACTCATAAGGAGACAGGTACTTACTGCACACAGCTGTGGTTCTGAAGAAGCGAACACTGAAGACACCACTGTTGTTAATGCTACAAAATAAACAAAAGTTAACTCCTTTAGCTTGTGAACCACTCACATTTTAGTCCAGTTCAGGCACCACAGATGACCTTCCCTTTAAATTGGTGATTCTTAACCAGGGTCATCCAGGGGACTCTTCAAAGTACACATGCCCACACGAATAGCCAAGGCAATACTCAGTTAAAAGAACAATGCAGGAGGTGTCACAATACCTGACTTCAAACTATATTACAAAGCAATAACAATAAAAACAGCATGGTACTGGCACAAAAACAGACATGAAGACCAGTGGAACAGAATAGAGGATCCAGATATGAAGCCACACAACTATGAGCAACTTATCTTTGACAAAGGAGCTAAAAATATACGATGGAGAAATAGCAGCCTCTTCAACAAAAACTGCTGGGAAAACTGGTTAGCAGTCTGCAAAAAACTGAAACTAGATCCATGTATATCACCCTATACCAAGATTAACTCAAAATGGATCAAGGATCTTAATATCAGACCCCAAACTCTTAAGTTGATACAAGAAAGAGTAGTAAATACTCTGGAGTTAGTAGGTATAGGTAAGAACTTTCTCAATGAAACCCCAGCAGCACAGCAACTAAGAGATAGCATAGATAAATGGGACCTCATAAAACTAAAAAGCTTCTGTACATCAAAAGAAATGGTCTCTAAACTGAAGAGAACACCCACAGAGTGGGAGAAAATATTTGCCAATTATACATCAGACAAAGGACTGATAACCAGAATATACAGGGAACTTAAAAAACTAAATTCTCCCAATAAAGAAATGGGCATGTGAACTAAACAGAACTTTCTCAAAAGAAGAAATTCAAATGGCCAGAAAACACATGAAAAAATGCTCACCATCTCTAGCAATAAAGGAAATGCAAATTAAAACCACACTAAGATTCCACCTCACCCCTGTTAGAATAGCCATCATCAGCAACACCACCAACAACAGGTGTTGGCGAGGATGCGGGGAAAAAGGAACCCTCTTACACTGTTGGTGGGAATGTAGACTAGTACAACCACTCTGGAAAAAAATTTGGAGGCTACTTAAAAAGCTGGACATCGATCTACCATTTGATCCAGCAATACCACTCTTGGGGATATACCCAAAAGACTGTTACTCCAGAGGCACCTGCACATCCATGTTTATTGCGGCACTATTCACAATAGCCAAGTTATGGAAACAGCCAAGATGCCCCACCACTGATGAATGGATTAAGAAAATGTGGTATCTATACACAATGGAATTTTATGCAGCCATGAAGAAGAATGAAATGTTATCATTCGCTGGTAAATGGATGGAATTGGAGAACATCATTCTGAGTGAGGTTAGCCTGGCCCAAAAGACCAAAAATCGTATGTTCTCCCTCATATGTGGACATTAGATCAAGGGCAAACACAACAAGGGGATTGGACTATGAGCACATGATAAAAGCGAGAGCACACAAGGGAGGGGTGAGGATAGGTAAGACACCTAAAAAACTAGCTAGCATTTGTTGCCCTTAATGCAGAGAAACTAAAGCAGATACCTTAAAGCAACTGAGGCCAATAGGAAAAGGGGACCAGGAACTAGAGAAAAGGTTAGATCAAAAAGAATTAACCTAGAAGGTAACACCCACGCACAGAAATCAATGTGAGTCAATGCCCTGTATAGCTATCCTTATCTCAACCAGCAAAACCCCTTGTTCCTTCCTATTATTGCTTATACTCTCTCTACAACAAAATTAGAGATAAGGGCAAAATAGTTTCTGCTGGGTATTGAGGGGGGGGAGCGGGAGGGGGTGGAGTGGGTGGTAACGGAGGGGGTGGGGGCAGGGGGGAGAAATGAACCAAGCCTTGTATGCACATATGAATAATAAAAGAAAAATGAAAAAAAAAGAAAAGTACACATGCCCAGGCCAGACCTGCAGAGATTTTGAGTCAGCAGGTTGAGTCCCAGATCCTAATGACCTGGGTGCCTTAAATAGTGCTCTGTGCTGTAATGAAATGCCACTCCTTAAAAGAGACAGATTTTTTTGAAGAAAAAAAATGCATCTTTGTCCTTTGCAGACCCACCAAAATGACTGAGCTTCCTAATTTAGGTTTCTTTCTTACTAACCAAATACAAGTAAGATATACGGCATGCCCTCCTGGGTACACAACAACGTACCAGCCATAGTGAAATTTCTGTCCTCTGGATTAGATCAGATAAGGCAGCAAGATGAGACAGGTAACTCAGAAGTAAAACAAGATATTTTGGGGAAAAAAAAGAACCTAAGAAATCCTACATGGTTATCTCCAATCCTGTTCTCTCAATAGCATGTCAGTCCATTCTTTTTTTTTTTTTTTCTTCCTTTTATTCATATATGCATACAATGTTTGGGTCATTTCTTCCCCCCTTTCCCCCACTCCCCGTGAGTCCATTCTAACTCATTCCAAAGAAACCTCTGAAAGACTAAGGCATTTTCTGATAAGGCATTTACGTTAAATAGTGTAAGCTGGAGAATTTTATCACTTGTAAATACAAAGCACTAACAATTACCTTTGGGAAGTGGGAGATGTAGGTGTATACAGTCATGAGCTAGCTGTTACATAAGCTACTTATACACAACTAGAGAATGATTTACACAGATGGGGAGTTTCACTTTTTACACTTCAGGATGTTTTGGATATTCTACAACAAACACCTTTACAAAAGAAAAGTAAAATAGATTACGTTGCTTTTTGATATTTGTCACTTTTATAATGTCGGGGAACCAATGTAAATTATTTTTAAAATACAGAACACGAATATGGGCATGATGGGTCAAGCCTATAATACCAGCTGCTCAGGAGACAGAGACTGGGGGAATCTTGGTTCAAGGGCAGCCTGTGCAAGAAAAAGTTAGCAAGACCCTATCTCAAAAAACAAGTTGGGCATGGTAGAGCATGCTTGTTATCCCGCTGTGCAGGAGGTAGGAGGATTTCAGTCTGAAGGCAACCCAAGCAAGAATGGGTGATCCTATCTGAAAAAATAAATAAAGCAAAAAGGGCCAGAGGCTGGCTCAAATGGCAGAGTGGTTGCCTACAAGCACGAAGTCACTACTGAGAAAAAAGAAAAAAACAAAAACAAAAAACCAGAACACATAAAATTGTACCAGAACAGGTAATGTTGTGCATAAAGTTTGTTACCATGTAAAAGTAATGCCGGTGGGCAAGAAAAGTTAATGTGTAACATTCGAATGCAGAGACTGCTCCTCCAGACACCAGGAACCTGGAGCCCAGGCTGCCTCCAGGAAGAGGCATTCAATGGGGTTAGAGGAAGGATAAATTCTTCACTGATACATTTTTGCCTTTCAAATTCTGAACTATGTAATTACCAATAAAATAAAAACACAAAATCAAAAACAGTTTTACAGGGTTGGAAGCATGGCTCAAGTGATAGAGTGCCTGCCTAACAAGTGAGAGGCCCCCAAGTTAAAAAAAAAAAAAGTTTTACAATATATTTTTTTTCTCTAAAACAAAGTAGTTACTTAGGTACTTTACTCAGAAAAAAAAAAGACAACATACTACACAGGTATTAGATTAGGGTGACATAATTAGGGGTGATCCAACTCAAAGTTTAATTTACTTTTGAATAATTATTTGTTGTATTTATTACATAGGTTCATGATTTCCCCAATTTTATTTAAATCACGAGTAATGTATTATTTTCTAAACTACAAAAGCATTAGATATTCACTGCAGAACATTAGAAATAGCAAAAAGAATGACTTAATGGGACTGTATCATATAGTAGAAAATGGAATCACTTTGTAATCTGCTTTTTTCCATTTATCCAAGTGTGAACATGTTAATATGCTATAGTTTAATCAATCCCCTATTTGTCATTTTGAGAGAAATCTGGGTAATACTATGAGATCTTCAGTGCAAATTCCTAGAAATGAAACTTCTAGATCAACAGGTACATACAATTCAAAGACTTATGATTGCCAAAATACCCTCTAAAAATAACATAGGAATTCATTACTTCTAGTACTAAGCACAAGATTTTCTGAATGAAAACCAAAACTCACTGTGATGTACAGTAAGGAAGTCAATCTGCTGATGACCCTTCACTTTAAAAATCTCCCTGTAGAAAAGGTAGCTTCATAGCTTTTCAACAGATTACTAGAGAGCATCCTCTTACCTCTACCTTAAAAATACTTAGAATGCAAAGTTGCTCAAAGCAACAGTCTTAAGCAGAAGTCTGAAATACCCATGGGTGGCCTTTCTCCAAACTCTGAATTATGCAAAATTAGCATTCTCTCTGAACTAGTCAAAGACCCAGAGTTCAAACAGTCTTTTGTTTTTACTGTTTCTAAAATGAATAACTATGAGACCAAGAGGATGCTCTCAATCTCAGTAATAATGTGACCTCCAATCCTCAGCTGTACTTGTATCCAACTAGAGCATGAAGAATACTCTTCTATCCCATAAAAAAAGGGTTCCAATTGAACTTTCATTATAATCTAACCACCTGAGGAAGACAGGCACTCTTGGTCCAACACATGACTTAGAGCTGATGCCTGAGATAAATCATCAATAAAAAATGATCATCAAGGTTATGTCTAGGGACTCAAAAAAACCACCCCGATTTTAGGTCTGGGGACCAAAGGAGATCAGATGGTCAAACCTAGAACTGGTATCCAAGTAAATGCCCTTATCTGTCCTCCCAGTGATACTTACACAATCTTCCTGCTATCAGGGTAACTTGGTCCCTGACATAAGGAGATTCCTGCAAGAAACAAAACAATTCTTAATCAAGAGCATCTTATCTTACATAATACATGAGATGGAATTGGAAGTCTGCTCACCCCTGACCCTCAAACCAACTCAGGACCAATTGCAGGTATATATATAATCTTTAATACAGAGAATCTTGCTTCTCAAATTTTTTCCAGCAAAATAGTCTTAATGGCAGAGAACAATGGGTATGGGAGTGGAGAGTGGGTAGAAAAGGGCAAATACCTGATGGCATAGCTCAAACAATTTTTGCAATGTATTTACCTCGAAGATTCATGAATTTTTATTAGCATATATTTGCAATTCAAGCTTGAAAAAAGATACATGATGAAGCCAGGCATGGTGGTATGTTTGCAATCCCTATACTCAGAAGACAAGAGGATGATGAGTTTGAGGTCAGCTTGGCTACACAGGGACAGCCTATCTCAAAAAATAAATACAACATCCTGTGACTTCAAATAGCCTAACTGGAGAAGTGAGGGGATATAGGTGGTCTGAGTTTGAGTGGATTGGGCTGGAACCTTATTGACTGAACCCTAGCAAAAAGTGGGCTACTTTAAGCCCAGGCTCTCCAACTTGTCCTAGGACTGAGGAAAACATCTCCCTACCTTTCAGCAGTTTGTCTTTCTGAAGTCTTTCACACTGGTCACTCTCAACAAGGGAGAAGCCCCTTATTTATGTCCTTGTCATTAATAACTGCATTTCCCCAACTGATGTCTATTGCTATAGCTGCTTCCCCTGAATATATTCTTCCTTATATCTTCCTCTACACCACCCCAGATCTATTAGCAACTCTTTCTGAACCATGAGCTTAGGAGCTACGAATTGAGAGATAGCTCCTCCTTATACATACCCCTCACAAACATTGCAAGAGTCAAGTCAGTCACTCACCTCTATATTAAGCAGCCAATGACTATGCAGTCTAAAACTCATTAACTACTTGCCTATACTGATTTATGGAAACCTGGTCCAATGGAGAGTTCATCCTATAGCAAGTTTCATTTGTATAGTATTTTATTATTTTAGTGTTACAAAAAGCTTTCTTATAATGACCTCATTTTCATTTTCAAGTCTTCCAGCAACTCTCTGAAGTAGAACAAGCATCTGCCATTTCACCTATTTCATATATAAGTAGAGCTTCTGGTGAGATTAGCCGGAGGTGAATCCCTGAGCCAAGATGTAAACCCCCAAGCAGGCCTCTTTTTCTAGTCCTGCCAGTCTATAAAGTAGAGAAAATGTTTCTGATTTCCAATTGAAAAGAAAGTTACTACTAAGAGTCTACTATGAACTGTACTAGATGCCTTATGTTCTCCTAGCTTAGGATAAAAGTTCAAGCACTTTATAGTCCTGTACCTTCCAGCCTTCCCTATCTTTCCAGCCACACTGGCTTCCTTTCCATTCCTATTAACTGGGCCCTTCCTGTTTGGAAACTTTTGCACAAGCAATTCCATTTGCCTGGAATATCATTTTCCTAGCTAACTGGTATCTTCAAGTTTCATCTCAAATGTCACTGTTTTTGGAGAAGCCTTCACCAGTATTCCCACCCCTCTCAAGTTGAGCTTTATCATGCCATGCTCTCATCACACACACCCTGTACTTCTCTTTCCTAGTAACCACAATATAATTATGTCCATATGTGTGCATAATGTGTATTTGCTATCTGTCCAACTAGCCCATAAGATCCTCCTGGGTAGAGACCATCTGAATTCCCATCACTTAGCACAGCAGTTGGCACTGTAGTTAAGCGCTCAATAAATGATCTGTTGTGTACATGAGTAAATAAGAACATGGTGGTTTAAGAGTTCAGGCTGAGGAAGGAATCAGGTGGACCTGACTTAACCAATAATTGGCTGAGTGATGTTGGCCAAGGCACTTAACCTCTCTAGTCTTGGATTATGCATTCATACAATAAAGATAATACATGTAATATTGTATGGTGGTGATTAAAAATTGCACAAAAAGCACTCAGAACAATACATGGCACAAAAAAAGCTTATAATAAGATTAACTCATTCAACAAATATTTATACCAAGCATATAATAAAGAATATGTTATGTAAGATCCACTGTTAATAATTATCCCACACCCCTCTCCATTAGGATAAAATCTAAACTCCTTTCAATAGTCTCTACAACATCTTCTATCTCATGACTCTCTCCCTTAACCAAAATGCCCTGGCAAAATCACTTTTTCTGGAAGTTGAACTCATGGTGTTGTGCTTAGCAAGGGTTCTGCCACTTGGGTCAACCAACTATCCAAATCACCTTTCAGGGCTGGTAGAGTGGCTCAAGTGGTAGAGCGCCTGTCTAGCAAATCACCTTTTATCCAGTTCAAAAACACTGCCAACTTCTTTCTTCAGACACTTTGTAGATGCTGTTCTCTTTCTCCTGCTCTTCACTGTGCTAGCTCTGTCCCATCCTCCAGATCACAGCTTTAATGTCACCTACTTAAAGAATTCTCTTCTGTCCACTATCACATTTCCTAAGCCTTTTACAATTTGTGATTGTTCACTTATTCAGCAATTTACACTTTGTATTTCCCACCTGTAAGCTCCATGCAAGCAAGAATTGTTAACTGCTGTATCCCTAATGAGTACCTAGTGAGGTGCCTGACAGTAAAAACTCCATCACCAAGGGCTGAGGGTGTACCTGAGTGGTGGTGTTTGCCTCACATGCAGTGAAGCCCTGGGTCCCATCTCCAGCACCAGAGAAAGCAAAACAATAAAACTCCTTAACTACCTGCTGAACAAATAAATGATAGCTGTTCTGATTAAGTAACATTCTGCCTCACTCCAAGGTGAACTGAATTGTCTGTGAGCGTTATAAGAAACACATCCAGATTGCCTCAGATACCGCTCTGCTCACGAGAAAAGCATTTTAGGTGACTGCAAGGGCACAACTTACCAGGCAGGGAACGTCTCCCTAGAGGGCAGTTCCCCTGTTGAGAAAGAAGACATTATCGACGTCACCCGAGATGAAAGGATGGAAGAAATAGCTTTTTTTAAGTGCACAAAGTGCTGATGACAGGCGAATCTCATAACTCCAAAGGAAAACACAACATACTGGGTCTGCCAAACTACTTCAAACTTCCCAACGGGCCTAGCACCCACTGATTTTAACGGAAGAGGAGAGACTGGCCCCCGAATCCAGTTGGGGGCTATGCAGCGACTCCTCTCCCACTGTGAGTCAGTCTAATGTCGGGACGGGCGCGGCTTCGCAGCCCCGGCGCAGAGGGTGGAGTACAGCAGGAAACCGCCGGCGCAAGCTGCCTCGGGAAGGCAAGCTCGCCGGGTTCCGCAGGCCACTTAAGGCAGTCCAGTGGACAACGGAGGCCTCCGCGTCCCGGTGTCCTTGGTGCCCGGCGTGGCCAACGTGCTGCACCCCTGCCCCTCAGGCCGCCCTTCTGCCTGCCGGCCGATTCCTGACCCACCGGAGCCCCGGACCGGCCAGACAGTACCTTCTGATAGGCAGCGAGCGAGCGGCTGAACGCCCGGGACACGCAGCGGGACAGGGACAGCATCGCGGCAGCAGCGGGGCCGAGGGCGGGCGGACACCGGATATAGGGCCAGGCAACAACCGGAAGTGAGGCGGACCGCAGCACCCGCCACGCGGCGAGGGGTGATCGGGGCGAACCACTGGCAGCGGTGGGGGTGGAGCAGCTTCAACAGTAGCCTAGGGACGCGGCGCTCTTGGAGCGGTCTGGGCTGCTGGCCACTCTGGGCTGGTCCGCCTGAAGGTATCTAGGCCTGTCCAGCAACCGAGTCGCTCCCGGGACCAGTCCTTCCCCTACCTGGTTAGGACTAAGTTAGCTCTGAGTTTGGCGCCCTTCTTTCCTGGGACACTAGGACATCATGCCACCCCGCCTTTGCATCACCGGAAGAGAACGAAAGGCTTTGAACTCAGACCTTAGCAGACTTGGCTGCCTGATCTTACACTTGTGTGACCTTGGGCAGGTGACACCGCCTCTCCCAGTCTCAGTCTTCTTTTAAATCCTTAGGACCCAAGTATTGGCCTTTATAGCTCACCTTCCTAACAGAAAAGGTGTTCCCATAACCTGTTGATTGAATGAATAATGAATGTATGCATGAATGAATGGATCTCCTGGTACCTGTTCATTTTGGTTTCTTTTACTTGAGGCAACTTTCCTGAGCCTCAAAACCTTCACAGAGCCTTCACTCACCCAAACCCTGAAAGCACTGGCAATGGAATTCTGGAGCTATGGGCAGATGTCCCAACTAGATATAGAGAAAATATCCATGCCAAGTGGCTGCCCATAATCAAGTCCTCAGTGTCCTTCTGGATTATTTTCAAAGCTTCCTAAGCAGGGCTGAGTCCCTAGCCCAGCCTTCACACCTCTGTCAAAGATCCTTCTGAAATGCAAACCTAATCCTGCCACTCCCCTGCCTAAAGTCTTTCAGTTGCTTCTCCCTGCCTATAGGATAAAGTCCAAACTCTTCAGTTTGACACCTCTTAATCTGGTTTCTGAGTTCTAATCCTCTCCCCCATTCTCACAGATCCTGAGGTTTAGTCATACTACACTCTGGCTGACGTCCCAGTGCACTATTTCACTCCTTCACTTCTTTTCATGGGCTGTTCCCTCCTATTTGCCTAGGGACTTCTAATCATCCTTTAAGTCTCTTTCTGAATCTCTTCCTAATCCCCTTTGGCAGAGCTAACATACTTTCTCTATGCTTCTGAAGTTATGTATCTGTATTTCTGTATTGCATTGTACTATGACGTCCTGTCCTCTTTACCTGTCTGTCTCCTCTGTCAGCCAAGCAGTAGGAGGGGAAAACATCACTCTTTTTTTTTTCCCCTGAATCCTGTGCACACAACATAATGCTTAGTATTCTGTAGGTACCTAGTAAGTAGTTGTGAAATGACTAAATTCTTCCATGCACACACACTGCTGGACATAGATGAGGAGTCCAAGAATAACAAGCAGGAGTTGTGGCAATCTTTCTGGCATTGCTGTTAATGTTTCTTAGCTAGCTGCTTAATTCTTTCTATGGGGATAGGTGGGAGGGGGGAGAGAATTGAACCCAGGCCTTGAGAATACCAAGCAAGCACTCCCAGCCTTTCTCCTCTCATAGCTGCTTAATTCTTTCATGTTTTTTTGTTCATCTTTGGCAGAACTCAGTTTGAACTCAGGGGTTTGCACTTACTAGACAGGTGCTCTACCACCTTCATTCTCCAGCCCTATTTCTGGCTTTTTGAGACAGGGCCTCACTATGTAGCCCAAGGCTGTCCTCAAACTCACAATCCTCCTGCCTTAGCCTCTCTAGTGCTGGGATTACAGGCATGTACCATCACGCCCAGTTCTTTCATAATTTTTATGATTAATTTTTAAGATTCTTCTCTCAGGTTTAGAAGCTCCAGCAAAGCATTTTTCCTGGAGTATTAGTGATTATACAAATTATTGTTAGATTTTACAATCTTTGACCAGGCATGGTGGTACATGCATGCAATCCTAGCACTCAGGAGACTGAGGAAGGAGGACTGAAAGTCCAAGGACAGCCTGGGGTATGTAGTGAGACCCTGTCTCAAAAAAAAAAATTCTACAGGCTTAGACACTGCACACGCACACACACATGCACACATATGCGTGGTAGCAGGCAAAGTTCCTTCTCCCTCTCAGAGAATAAAGGCTGAAATCGATTTCCTTGAGATTCACCTATGAGCTTCTCTAGGGTACAAGGTACAACATGATAAGCCAGCACCCTCTTCTGCATTTGGAGCTTCCAGGGCACAGCATTGCTTCATGGGACAGAAACTCATGAATATATGTTGCAGCAGGGTTCAAAAGAGAATTTTTTTGTATTGGTTTTAAGTGAGGGTATTATTTCTTTATTTCTTTTTTTAAATTTTTATTTTATTCATATGTGCATACAATGTTTGAATAATTTCTCCCTCCTTCCCCCACCCCCTCCCTTACCCCCCCACCCTCTCCCTCTCCCCCCCACCCCCTCGCTACCCAGCAGAAACTATTCTGCCCTTATCTCTAATTTTGTTGAAGAGAGAGTATAAGGAATAATAGGAAGGACCAAGGGTTTTTGCTGGTTGAGATAAGGATAGCTATACAGGGAGTTGACTCACATTGATTTCCTGTGCATGGGTGTTACCTTCTAAGTTAATTCTTCTTGAACTAACCTTTTCTCTAGTTCCTGGTCCCCCTTTCCTATTGGCCTCAGTTGCCCCAAAGTATCTGCTTTAGTTTCTCTGCATTGAGGGCAACAAATACCGTTTAGTTTCTTAGGTGTCTTACCTATCCTCATATCTCCCTTGTGTGTTCTCGCTTTATCATGTGATCAAAGTCCAATCCCCTTGTTGTGTTTGCCCTTGATCTAATGTCTACATATGAGGGAGAACATAAGATTTTTGGTCTTTTGGGCCAGGCTAACCTCACTCAGAATGATGTTCTCCAATTCCATCCATTTACCAGCGAATGATAACATTTCATTCTTCTTCGTGGCTGCATAAAATTTCATTGTGTATAGATACCACATTTTCTTAATCCATTCGTCAGTGGTGGGACATCTTGGCTGTTTCCATAACTTGGCTATTGTGAATAGCTCTGCAATAAACATGGGTGTGCAGGTGCCTCTGGAGTCACCTGTGTCAGTCTTTTGGGTATATCCCCAAGAGTGGTATTGCTGGATCAAATGGTAGATCAATGTCTAGCTTTTTAAGTAGCCTCCAAATTTTTTTCCAGAGTGGTTGTACTAGTTTACATTCCCACCAACAGTGTAAGAGGGTTCCTTTTTCCCCTGCATCCTCGCCAACACCTGTTGTTGGTGGTGTTGCTGATGATGGCTATTCTAACAGGGGTGAGGTGGAATCTTAGTGTGGTTTTAATTTACATTTCCTTTATTACTAGAGATGGTGAGCATTTTTCATGTGTTTTTTGGCCATTTGAACTTCTTCCAAAAGAGAATTTTTAAAGAAAACATTTGCGTTGTAAACTATACATTAAAAGGGTATATAAATCTATGTCTATGGTTTAAAGAAAAATAATGAAAGGAATGCCCTTACTCACCACCCAACTTAAGAAATGAAAAAACCATATGTGGGCCTCCTGGATCATCAGTCAGTTAACTACAACTATCCTGAATTATGTATCAATCATTCCCTTGTTTTCAGTATAGTTTCAATATGCATGAGCATACATATAATTTTGTTCATTTTTTAAATTGAGAAAAGGTGTATTTGCTTTCAAGTTACATAAGAAAGAAATTTTTAGAAAGGATTAAGTGCCTCCATTAATGGAAAACACCATGCAATTGTCAGCTTACCTTGAATAACACGCATGGCATTCTTTTTTCTTACCTCTATCCCCTAGTATTCATATGTGTGGTCTGTATGATCTAAACCATATGCTCACAACCTTGCTTATATATTTGTGAATATTACTGATGAGGTAGTAGATGGGCTTTAGCCTGTCCTTCTGTGGGCTCCTTAAAATAGGGACTATGCACTAGAGTCACTATATATTACCTATGATACCTGGATTCTATCTATATCTGCCTATGTTACCATTCACTTGTAATGAAAACTACTGGATAGATGAATATATCTAGGCTCGGCAGAGTGGCTCAAGTGGAAGAGTACCTCCCTAGCAAGTGTGAGGCCCTGAGTTCAAACCCCAGTGCCACCCCCCCTTAAAAAAAATACATAGTGAAAATCTAGACATGTTTTTGGGAGAGAGGTTGCCTATTTTTTAACTTAATAGAAATGAAATCACAGTGTCTCTATCATTCTATGATTGACTTCTTACACTTCACACTGTGTTTTGAGGATTTTATCCATGTTGATAAGGTGAGCCATAGCACATTGGTTTTCATTGCTGTATTTTACAATAGTCACTCTATCTCCCAAGCTAAAGAACAACATGGCAAAATTTGGGTGATGTTTGAGGGTAGATGAGTTTGGACAGGATGCTCTCTCCAGGCTTGTCACAGATGGGCCCTTTCGACCCAGCAACCAGCCTTCCCAACAGCGTTCCAACCTCTGCTGCAGGGACAGGCTGTACAGCCCATCCTTCCTGCCTATATGAGACGCCATGTTTTGGGGCTGGGCAGAATTCAGTTTCCTGAGGATGCTGGAGGGTCTAGAGGAAAGATGATCACTTTGGAGCCTCACTGGGGAATTTTGAAGCAGAGAGCAGGAGCTTTCCACTGGAGGCCAGGGCAATGGGAGAAGCTAGGCAACCCAGCCTCCAAATGTTCAAAGAGCTCCTTGGGTCCTGGACAAGGACAGAAAAGATGGTATTTCAGGAAGATCCTCTCAAAGCTGGTTTTCAGGGCACCTGAAATAACAGGGGCCAGCCAACCAGCTCAGGGCCCCTATTTGCATATTCATAAGACCCCCATGCTGGTTGGCTGTGTTAAGCAGCCCCCAAGGTCCCCAGCAGGGTTGGGTCTGTCAGATGGTGCCTCGCATTGAGAAGGGATAGGAGGTTCTCCTCACCAGCCACAGCACCAGGCCCACTTGGGGAGGAAGCAAGGAAACCAAAATCACTTCCTGACCCTGGCTGTGTCTGCCCAAGGCTGGTGAAGACTGAGCCACGGCATTCCTGGGCG